GGGAAAACCGCGAGGCCTTGGAAGCCCGAGGCAGCAACCTCGAGTTCGAGCTCTGTCGACTACAATACGTATGGCTGTACCATGATGGAGCGAACAACCAGGGAACCGCAAGCGGATGGCTAGCTGCGCTCGAGTATGCGCGGCAGGAGTTCCATGCCTTTGTGCCTCGATATTTGAGAGAAATTCAGCAGCTAGTGGGCGCAATGGCGTACTCGCCCAATCTCGGCGGGTCGCCATACGCAGCTCTCTTCAACAACGCCTCGGCCTGGGATGACGTAGCTCACTTCTTCACTCGCGAGTTCTGTTCTTTGTTGGGCCTTTCGGCGGAGTCGCCGCTGTATATTGCTGCTACGGCAGGCGCGATTGCTCTGCCGACACTATTGAAGCTACAGACGATTATGAAGTCGAAGCGGACGGAGTGGACATCCGAAAACGAGCTTCCGGTAAGGAACCCGCTACTCTGTGTATGAATCGACGCTAATATTTGCGGTGTCAGGTCGAAATACCCCTCCCTCCTCAGTATCTCTTCCATTCCATCTTTGTCTGTCCGGTGTCAAAGGAGCAGGCGACCGATGAGAACCCTCCTATGATGATGCCATGTGGACATGTCATTGCGCAGGAATCGTTGAAACGCCTGGGCAAGGGTAATCGGTTCAAATGCCCGTATTGTCCTAGCGAAAGCCACCCCAAGGATGCCAGGAAAGTATTCCTGTAGTGTAGGTCTTCCCTTTCTTTCTGTCCCTTTCTGTTTCCTTCTTTGTCCTCACATCTCTGGGTATTCTTTCCATGGCAAGTGGCGATCGGACGGGTAACTTCGGGAACACTGGGTCTTATCAAGGGCGTTTAGCGTCGGCGTTCAGGGGCTCATTTGTTACGACATTGCAATGCAGGTCCATTCAACGCTGTAGAGCACTGCAATTTAATTCAAACCTGACATTCGATCATAACCAAGTCCAAAGGTAAATCAAAAACATCATCATTCCAAGGCTGCTGTCCAATGGACGTATCAATTCCAACAAAGAGAAAAGATCAGAATTTGCCTCAGATGGCAAAGCAATAATCCACCGCAATCCACAACTATTTCCCAAATAGGAAACCGTAATTTCCTTTGTCTCAACGGCGACATCTGATTGGCCAAATACAGGCCCGTGACCACGCGCCCATTTGGCGACTCGAAAAACCCCCTTTACGCGGTCGAAACTCGTTGTGACGCGTCTTTCGCCGAGCTCTACTCCTCTGCGCAGGCTAATTGGGGCTATCCAGTAGATCATCCGTATACAAACCGTCCCACGTCCTGTAATCTCCACAGACGAGATACCAGTAAGTACGAATGTGACTTTGTCTCCGTAACAAACGGGAGCTTGCAGTCCTCTCTGTCTTTTATAAATAGTACCCCATCTGCCCCCTGAATCCATCCACAGCTGTCTCTGTATTCTCCCCCAAACCGTCTGCTATCCAGACCATAATATAATAGCAATGTTGTCCAAAAGAATACAAGAGAGGCCAATTCCTGGCCAGTATCGCGCGGCAAAGGCTTCGGCTTTCACGCTCCAGTCGCGCAGGATTCCTCGCGATAGAGCCAAAGACCGAGCATCCAAAGACAAAGAGCGAGATAGCTCAGGCTCTGGCTCTGGTTCGATTGGCAGTAAGACCCGACGACTCGAGCAGGGTCGAAGGTTCGACAAACCACCAGACGTAACGTAAGTCCTACCACAACATGGATGTATCTGCATCTGCATTATCATCATCTACACCACAAATCCATAGATCCAGTCGCTAACCCAACACAGAACACCCCCAACAAGCCCAATAGTAATGCTCCGCGTGGGCCCCGAAAAGCGCCTCTTCGCCGCCCACGAAGCCATCCTCCGCGCATCCCCCTTCTTTGCCGCGCACTGCACAGCCCAGACACCAGACCCGAATGCGCCACGGCCAAGACATCCCCTCCAACCACCAACCAAGCGCATCGACCTCCCAGATGAGCAAGCCGAAGTCCTCTCCTGCGTCCTCGAGTACCTCTACAAGGGCGACTACTACCCGCGCCTGCGACACAACAGCCGGACCCGGATATGGGAGCTGGAGGATGCAGACGCCGGAGTTGGCGCGGGCACTAGTGGGGAATTGGGACAGGCGACGGCGACGGTATTTCATCATCGGGCGCGGGGAGTGATATTGCGGGATACGGCAATATAGTAAGTGATTTCTTTTCTATTTTCCTCGTTCTGATTACGAATTGGCAAACACTATAAATTTGTGTGTACTAAGATATGTTTCAACAGTTGCGCAGCGGAAAAATACAACCTCCCCCATCTTCAGCAACTTGCGCTGCGTAAGCAGGGCCTGCACACGGGGATCCAGTGTAGCACGATACTTGCGAGTGCGCGGTTCGTGTACGCTAACACACCGGACACGGAGTCGAAGTTGCGGGCGCATTACCTTGCGCTGATTGTGCGGTCGCGGGGCACTTTTATGCGCAGTGGGACTATGCAGGCGGAGATGGAGCGTGGGGGGAAGTTGTTTTTTGATCTTTTTGTTGCTTTGTGTAATCATATGGTGAGTTTACTTTCTTTCCTTGGGTTTTGGGGGAGGTATGAGGTGCTGATTTGGTTTACGATTAGGATGACTATACCAGTGAATCGGTCGATGGTTCGGCTGCTACGACTCGTTGTTAGGGATGTGTTTGGGATTCTGGGGTTAGGTGGTAAGTTGGTTGTTGGCTTTTGATAATTCGCAGTTCCATTCTACATCGCTGCTGGCAGTGTTTTATACCCGTGTACTACTACGTTTCAATATCTACAGAATGGAGAGCAGTTTGAAGTTGCTAAGTCCTTGGACCCATAGATTCGTGATTTCGTAAAGATAAGATCTAATATAGCCGGCTAGCCCAATCTTGATATATCTCATGTATTAGGCAAGCGTTGGCTGGATGACACCGACGAAGCTGGCGCTTCGATCCGAGCGGTGACCAAGTATCATGCTGCTGATGTGCAATGTGTATCGCGTCAGGCCAAATATCTTCGGGGGTGGTTTTGCCTGATCAGTATTCTGGTGTGCCGAATGATATAGCTGCATGTATGAATGTAAGTCATAGGCGGACGCATACCTGGCGACTTTGAAGGTATGGCGACCAACGAGTGTGTTGTCGATAAGCATTAGACGAAATGGGGTTCAGACACGTTCCAGTGCATTGCCACCCAAAAGCGTCTTTAGACACCTGTGCCCGGGAAAGCGCTGCCTCCCTTGCTCAAAACGATGATGCCTCGATCACGCGCAATGTATCCTTTCATGAGTCCCTGGGGTGACATGTCAATAAACACTTATGGATTGATCATACTTGTCAGCTTACCTTGTAGATGAGGTTGGAGAGTAAACACTCCACCTCATCAATATCGATGCGCGATCGACCGCTTGTAGAAGTACCCACACGGAGAGCTGCCGCGAATTCATTCACATGGACACGGGTACGTCGAACCGGAGATTGACCTTCCTTGGGTTCGTCGAAACCACCAGCGAGGAAAACCTTTCGGAACAGGTTGCGCAAGGCAATGTCGCGCCCACGTTCTAACGGCAGGTAAATACGTCTCTTGACAAACTCTGCCTCGCCGTCAGACATGGCCTGGTCGAATCCAACCAAGTCACCCTTTCGGATGCAGTTCGACAGAGGCCGGAAAAGCCTCTCTAGTCGTGGGAATGGCGCGAGAAGCTTTTTGGTGGGAAGGGTGTGTGTAGTCACGAGGTGACAGGGAATAAGGTAGGTAAGAATCAATCTAATAGTGGTTAGTGGAAACTTATCTGTAGCTGGAGACCTACTAACTCTCGATTCTTGGTTGCATCTCGATGGCACATTCTCCAAGCGAATGTCAGGTGTTCTTCAGCCTATGTTGCAAATAATCAGTCCCGGTAATAGCCCACGAACACAGCTTTTGGTAATACCTCTGTGTAATTCTCATCCAAGAAGTGGATGACTCCAACATAATACTCGAACGTGACAATGTGGGATTTTGGGAAAACTTCGGGAGGAGGAAGGTCAGCCGATGAGGCGTCGATAGCACGGAGCAAGTTTTTGGTAAGGCCGACGGAGTTGATCTGAAAGAGAGAGATTAGCATTTTGCTAGCGACAGTGAGGTCGGCATTTGATACCTTGAAATATGTCTTGAATAGGAGATTGGTCATGTTGTAGATACCCCACTTGCGGGACTCTTCAAGGGGTGCTCTGGTTCCTGGTCAGAATGGAACAAATCGACAATTGAATCATATCCTTACCTATCAGTCAGGCACAGAGTGAACATCCGGTTGATGACCCGAGCAGCCTCCTCCAAGTTCGCGTTCTTCTCAACATCAGCTGCTATGTCATCCTGGAACCCAAACCCAGCGGAGCCTTGGGATGCGGCTTCGAGATCGGCATTGATCGCAAAAGTACGCAAGTACTTCCCGACTGTGTACAAGCATGGCAATGTCCAAGCCGGAATGCCGGCAGAGCCCGAGTATCCCCGGATGAGGGCATTGGCAACCTTTTTCCAGGCGTTGAAGACCGCAAGGACGCTAGCACCCGGAAGGCGGTCTTCCCACCGAAGTATTTCGCCTATAGCTTCCCAGTAAGCAGCGAAGATGTCAACCCAGGCAGCCTGTTCAGCCTTTGGTAATTTCAGACTTTTCCCGTGGAAAAGACCATAGCTGAGATCCTTGGACAGATATTCGGGGGTGGAGAACTTGTGGAAGGAGCGCAGCCGATCGGGGTCTTCGGACGGCGCGATCGGGGTGAGCACTGCAGCTAATTCCGGGCCGGAACCGTTGAGGTATGCATTCTTGAATGCGGGTGCGAGGGAACCGAGAGAGCCCATGGTGAACTGCCCTCTGGCGGAAGATTGATCAAATTGATTGATAAGTTATGAGTTGAAAAGAAGCATTCGAGGTGGGGTAAGGGTTGAGATCCGACCCGACAAAGACAAAACAAGTGAGGGAACATACTTTTGGAGAAGACATGTGGGGAAGGCGAGGCAATGTGGCTGGTGAGCTGTGGCGGAATGATAGTGGCGCAGTTACATTACCAAATGAGACTAGCGCAGAACGGAAAGCCTCCACTCGCTTAGGGCAAGGGCGGCAACCCTAAGCACAATTGGAACCTCACAATTCTCATTTTCCATCGACGGCACACTAACGACTCATCCACCACAGCGACAATCACAGTGAGTACCTACCACTCGATTTCTATCGGAGATTTGTACTAACATTATACTCTTCCAGATGGGTGAGTGATTTCTATTCCCTTCCCGATACCCCAGGACTATTTTCGAGACAACGGTGCGCGCATATGTTTGGAGGAAATTCGAGACGCGAAGACCCCCACGAGATCGACTTGAGACAACCACAGAAGAGGAGGATGCAATGACAAATCGACGTCGCTTGGAATTGTTTATGAGGGAACCCACAACGCTGTCGAGCAGAGCTACGCATGGTTGAATCTCGAATTTTTCAATATCCACAAATCACACTTGGTCTTCTCGAATTATCGCCAAGTCGCATCGCGCACCGTTTCATCTCTCGAACTGAACGTCTGGGCAATTGGAATGTCCACTACGAACTATGACTGACGGATTCCCAGGGCGTCTTACTGAGTACCAGGTCATCGGGCGTCACCTGCCCAACGAGGCGAACCCCACGCCCAAGCTGTACCGCATGCGCATCTTTGCGCCCAACACTGTTGTGGCTAAGTCGCGTTTCTGGTACTTCATGGCCCAGCTCCGTAAGCTCAAGAAGGCTAACGGCGAGATCGTTTCCCTGAACGTGGTATGTTGGGATTGAATGTCCGAGGATATGGAATGGTGCTCATTTTTGTGTTTAGATCGAGGAGAAGCGTCCCCTCAAGGTCAAGAACTTCGGTATCTGGATCCGCTACGACTCGCGCTCCGGCACCCACAACATGTACAAGGAGTTCCGTGAGATGAGCCGCACCGACGCTGTTGAGGCCCTCTACCAGGACATGGCTGCCCGTCACCGCTCCCGTTTCGGTTCCATCCACGTATGTTACGCTATCCGAACCTTCCGACAATGACCAACATTCTAATGATTATTTCCTGCAGATCCTCAAGGTTGTTGAGATCGAGAACAACGACAGCATCCGCCGCCCCTACATCAAGCAGCTCCTCCAGAAGGACCTCAAGTTCCCTCTGCCCCACCGCGCCGGTGGCAAGGTCGGCAAGAAGGTCTTCGCCTACTCTCGCCCCTCTACCTTTGCTTAAATGTGATGTTCTGGGTGTTGGGTTTGGGAGTGTGTGCGGATGATGACTGTTTATGGCCATAGCATGCATGAAAGATGGTCACGTGGAAGCCACCGCCCAGTTCACGGGCGAGATGGTTGGATGTCCCTAGTTCCCCGTATGGTGGCATCTTTAGGTTATTTTGAAAAAAATCATCGGGTTTCTTGAATTATTCGAGTTCTAGTAGGACAATGGGCGTACATAGAGAGTAGGCGATTTGATAGGTGCTAGGGCATCATATCAAAGATATATCAACCTGGAATAATGGTCTGTTGGCCTTTGGATTTGTTTCAAGTCCGTCCATTCACAATGCCCAGGGTATGGTCGGATTGGATATACACAAGGTAGTTGTTGCAATCGCTTACCGCTGGTCATATCTCATTGCGAATTACATACATACCCATGGGGATAGATACCATCATATCAAATACTCGTCCATTCTATATGTACATCTGTCTATATTACAATTTGAATCCCGACAAAGTATGTGTCAGATATCGGAGTTTCTTCAGCCGCGCCCGACACCGAACCCCGAACCTAGATGCCTTGTAGGTCAGGCATTAATTGGTATCTTCAGCTGCCATTTTAATTGCAAGTCTTTTGGCCTGCAGGAAAGGCCGCTTAGTTTGGATATGTTGGCTATCTTTACTCAAACAATCATTACCGAAAGCATTGGTCTTCGCAGGCCGCAATACAGGGACTATTGCGTCATTGGTCGGGAGGGAGCTGTCCGCTTTCGCGTTTGTAATCCGATTTCTTCCCGCGGACCTTCAAATGTTTCAAGGTCCCCAGGTTCCTCGTTTCCCTCTTACCCCATTTTCCCCCAATTCTTACAATCATGTTTGCTCGTCAATCTTTCCGTTGCGCGCAGCCCTTGAAGCAGGTTAGTTGAAATACGTCCTCGATTCAATTTCCATACTGAACGCCATTCAATCAGAGCTTCCGCAAATACTCTGCGGAGGCTGCTCCCAAGAAGTCCAACTTGACCCCCGTCTACGTTGGTGTGGGCCTCGCCGGTCTCGGTGCTGGTGTCTACCGCTACAGCAACAGCGCGATTGCTGAGCCCAAGGACCGCCCAAAGGTCTTCAACGGCGAGGACTGGGTGGACCTCAAGCTTGCTAACATTGAAGTCCTGAGCCCCAACACCAAGCGTCTTCGCTTCGAGTACGACGATAAGGAGGCTGTCTCTGGCCTTCCTGTCGCCTGTGAGTAGTCTGAGTCCGGGATGATTGCCAATCGATCACTAACAGGCATATAGCTGCTCTGTTGACCCGTTTCAAGCCCGAGGGTGCCGAGAAGAACATTCTCCGTCCCTACACTCCTACCAGTGATGAGGGTATGATAAACGTGAACCACAACCTATTTTTGGTTTGCTAACACGTGGCAGATATTCCCGGCTACCTTGAACTCGTCGTCAAGGCCTACCCCGGCGGCCCCATGTCTGAGCACATCCACTCCATGAACGTCGACCAGCGCCTGTCGTTCAAGGGACCTCTTGTCAAGTATCCCTGGGAGGCCAACAAGCACAACCACATCTGTCTGATCGCCGGTGGCACTGGTATCACCCCCATGTACCAGCTCGCCCGCGAGATCTTCAAGAACCCCGAGGACAAGACCAAGGTCACTCTGGTCTTCGGCAACGTCACCGAGGAGGATATTCTCCTGAAGAAGGAGCTGCAGGATTTGGAGAACACCTACCCCCAGCGCTTCCGTGCCTTCTACGTCCTGGACAACCCCCCTGCGGGCTGGACCGGTGGCAAGGGCTTCATCACCAAGGAGCTGCTGAAGACCGTCCTGCCGGAGCCCAAGGAGGAGAACATCAAGCTCTTCGTCTGCGGCCCTCCCCCAATGTACAAGGCTATCTCCGGTGCTAAGGTCAGCCCCAAGGACCAGGGTGAGCTCACCGGTATCTTGAAGGATCTGGGTTACAGCAAGGAGCAGGTCTTCAAGTTCTAGGTTATTGTAGAATATGTAGCTATAGTATGTCGCTAGTTGAATATGCGGCAGGATAGCCATGTATATTGGTGCATCTTGTTTTCAGCGTGTTGCCGTGTCTCTGGCTGGCTTCGGACGTCATATTATTGAAATACATTTTGTCTCTAAATATATAATCATATGTATCTGGCAGTTGTATTTGCCTGTAGCGGCACGGGTATAGGAAGGACTAAGTGTTTTTTGAGAAGACAGAATGGGGCCGTGATGAAGATGGGAAGGGTGGTGGATATATATCACGAAGAATACCTTTGTAGAATACGACATAATTAACGAAAATAGTAGCTAACAACAATCCACATAGTAATAGAACAGTAAAACAAAGGAATATCACTCAAAATGCGTTGAAATAATTGCTCAGAAGCTGTATAAGCTGCACCCAAAGCCCACATACATCTAAGTATACATAAAGTACCTACTGGCAGCTAAGCGACAAGACCAACTAGACTATAGAAGTGCACTAAAACGATTACACCGGAGAGAAAAGAACCAAAAAGGCAGTTTTAACGAATTGAATTAGGAAGTCAGAACAGGCGTTCGTACTACAAGCTTGACACCTTGTGCTCAGCTGAGCCCCTCTTCTACAGCCCTGGGCTTGGGCGACCCTGAAGTTGAGATGTTGGCGGGGGAAGCATAGCCCACACCTGAACATGCCCCAGCCCCTCCAAGAAAAAAGGAAAGGAGTAGGAGAAACAGTAGAATTGCGAAGAAATAGGCGTGAGATAGAATAAAAAGAACCGGGAATTTATATAGAGAAATAATATTGTTAAGTTATGAATGTAATTATCTCCTTAGCATTCGCGAGTACTTATACAAGTCTATGGCCCATGGGTTACCCCTCGGGCGCCCCCTAAGAGCCCGTCATCAAAGGTGGTTAGTTACGTATCTATTAATTTAACCCTACATTATTGTATATTATTATAGAAGAACCTATGAGTGCAGGTTAAGAAATAAAAATTGATAGCTTAACACATACGTATGTATATATCTCTAAGTGAATAGAATAGCATAAGGAGGTGTGCACTGGGTGAACCTAGGGTGTCTCATGACAAGGGCCCAGAGCCTAAGCCTAAAGCAGAGTGAAAATGCCCGGGGCACTTCGGGGTGCCTTTTGCTATTTAGTGGGTACTCGGCCCTTCCACCCCCCCGTCCTCTTCCCCCCCTTCCCCCCCGAAAAATAAGAAATTTCTCTTTTCTTCACCTCTCCTCGGCTTCAATAACAATGGCTTCCAATCAAGATGATACGACCGTTCAGGTCAACAAAGAAGAGCTCAGACGGGCTGGCGACTTGGTAATTTTCACACTTTCCTTTTTTACCTTTTGATTTTAGCATTTTCTTTGTTTCGGTTCTTTTTTTTTTCTGTTTTCTTGTGTGCATCCCCACTGCGCGCCTGCTACGCGTCGCGTTCGAAGATAGATAAAGCTACACATCAAGCTGTTTAAGCTTAAACTATACTATCTCATACTTCAGCGTCATGTTGGCGAGCTTCACGTGCAACAAAAAAGAAGAATTCCCACCCTTTGCCTCCCTCCAGAGCTGAGGAGCATCTTGACATCACACACCTCTTGCCAACTAACGCGCTGCCTGACTGCACCTCTTCCTTCACTAACCCTATACCCATACATATATGCCATGGCCAAGCGTAATTGCTCCTGCAGTAACACCGCTAACAATGCCTCATAGATCGTCATGCGCCTGATGGAGGTGCAGTCTTACATCGCCGACCTGGGCAAGGCATACGTCCAGCACGTGAACAACATCACCGAAGGACGTGATGCCACCATTGAGCTCCCTGTCGGTCCTTCTGGATTCATGGGCCAGGACATCCCCTTCCGCGCCGGCAGCCCCGGCGCCAAGTCCGAGGCCGGTGGTCCCAAGAAGCGCAAGCGCGCGCCCGTCGACCCCAATGCGCCCAAGCGTGCCTTGACCCCCTACTTCCTGTACATGCAGCACAACCGCAGCAAGATCGCTGATGACCTGGGCGGTGATGCGCGCCCAAAGGATGTCGCCGATGAGGGCACCCGGCGCTGGCAGAGTATGGAAGATACCCAGAAGGAGGTATGTATTGGCAGCGATCAGAGCAGTCCCAGCTTGATATTGTTGGCAAGTATGCAGGGCTAACCCGTATCCGCATAGGTCTGGAAGAAGATGTACGCCGCCAACTACGACCAGTACAAGCGCGACATGGCCGCCTACAAGGCCGGCGGCAAGGTTGTTGAGGACCACGATCCCGCCGCCAGCCAACTGCAGCAGGACTTTGCCGGTGCCGAGCCTGGGGCCGAGGCCGAGCCTGAGGCTCAAGCTGAGCCCGAAGAGTCCGACGAGTCCACAGAGTCTTCCGACGAGTCGCAGTCCCCCTCTCCTGTGAAGGAAAAGACCCCCCCGCGCAGCACCACCAAGCGCCGCCGCAGCGAGAACAAGGCCAAGGAGGCCGAGACTCCTGCCAAGTCACCTGTCAAGCGCGGCCGTAAGGCTGCTGAGCCGGCGTCCACACCGGCTGTCAAAACACCCTCTGAGAACAAGCGCAGGAGCAAGAAGCGCAAGAGCGAGGTGTAAATGAATTTGTTGGTGCTTTCTGCTTTCTGATTTCTGATTTGCTTGACTCTAGGGTCAGATGAGATGGTCTCGGTCTGGTGGACTGGATGTGTAACCCTCCCGGTTTGCCTTTTTCAGCGGCGTTTGGGGAAAATCTGTACCTATTTAGCTTGAATTAGTGAAATGGACTGACATAGGATGTGGTTTTTAAATACCCATGCGTATCAGTATCCATGGCAGGTTAGGCCTGCATAGTTCTATATCGTACAAGTCGTTTAGTTTCCAAGACAAACATGGTACATTTTTAGCCGCTACACAATATCGAGCTATAAGTATAAAACTAAAGAATAGAACCGAATTAAAACTGACTAAACCTCACTAAATGCAAAATCCAACTAAATCCAAGTGCATTATCAATTTAGCAAAGCCTTGACTAATGCCGCCGACCTCAGTCCCCCGGCCCAATCGGCCTCCACGCTCACTTATCATGGGCAACCTTATCAGCTCTGGAGAGAAACATTTGAAATGTACCGCATCCCCACATTCCTGTTGACTTCCTTTCTGATCCCTTTGGATTGTTGTCTTTTTACACCTTGACTTACTCTGAGGTTTCAAAGTCGCTCCAAAACTGCCTCCAAGACCAATTACCCTGCACGCCAAGAACTGCCAGGTTCAGGTTCCACATGAACCATGCAGCTTATTCCGAAGGAGGTAAGTCACACATACATTCTCCGAGACACAACACAACTAACACCCCTGTAGCTTGACAAGCTTACCATCGCCCACCTAGGCTTCTTGGCACAGCGTCGTTTAGCACGTGGAGTGCGGCTCAACCATGCAGAAGCTGTGGTATGTGTATCTTTTGAGATGTAGGACACGACCACTGACACAACCCCCAACAGGCCCTGATAGCCTCAGTGCTACACGAGGTACGATAACCCCTGTCAATTCCATATGACACCAGGGCATACCATATACCCAATTGATCCAATGCGCAAACTGACGCTCAAACCCCCGCAGTTAATCCGCGATGGCCACTACTCCGTCGCCGATCTAATGTCCATCGGCAAAACAATGCTTGGCCGCCGGCACGTCCTCCCGTCCGTATTGGCAACCCTCGTAGAGCTCCAAGTCGAGGGAACCTTCACCTCCGGTACCTACTTGGTAACCGTGCACCACCCGATCAGTAGCGACGAGGGCGATCTCGAGCGCGCCCTTTATGGCAGTTTCCTGCCCGTCCCCGCGCCCGAGGCATTCCCAGACCCGGACCCGGAGGATTTCACGCCTGAGAAGATGCCTGGCGCGGTTATTCCTGCTAGAAACACGCGCGTGGAGTTGAGTTCTGGGAAGAGGCGCATTAAGCTTAAGGTTATGAGTAAAGGAGATCGACCGATTCAGGTGTGTACATTGTATTCAATATACGAGGCAGAAAGGGAAAAAGGAAAGCGACCTGAAGTAAGTGATGCTAATTGCAGTGTTAACTGCCAGGTCGGATCGCATTACCATTTCATTGAGACGAACCCGCAGCTGCACTTCGATCGCTTGCAGTCGTACGGTTTCCGACTGGATATCCCCGCAGGCACGTCGATTAGATTCGAGCCCGGCGACACGAAAACGGTCACGCTTGTCGAGATCGGTGGACACCGCGTCATCCGCGGTGGAAATTGGCTGGCGAATGGGCCTTTGGATATGAGTCGCGCCGACGAGATTACGACTAAGCTGCAGATAGCTGGTTTTGCGCATGTGCCGGAGCCGCAGGCGGATAGTGCGCTTGTTGCTGGGTTCTCGATGGAGCGCGAGGCGTACTCGCGCATGTTTGGTCCTACGACGGGGGATCTGGTGCGGCTTGGGTTGACGGATTTGTGGATTAAGGTCGAGAAGGACTTGACGAATTACGGGGATGAGTGTGCTTTTGGTGGGGGGAAGACGCTGCGTGAGGGGATGGGGCAGGCATCTGACCGGTCTCATACCGAGTGTGTTGATACTGTTATCACGAACGCGTTGATTATCGATTGGACTGGTATCTACAAGGCTGATATTGGTATCAAGAATGGGCTTATTGCTGGGATTGGCAAGGCTGGAAACCCGGATGTCATGGATGGCGTGCATCCTGATTTGGTGGTGGGATCGTCTACGGATGTCATTGCTGGAGAGAACAAGATTGTTACCGCTGGTGGTATCGACACGCATATCCACTTGATCTGCCCGCAGCAGGTGGATGAAGCTCTGGCCTCGGGAATCACCACTTTCCTCGGCGGTGGCACCGGCCCCACCACTGGATCAAACGCGACGACATGTACGCCGTCGCCGAACCTCCTGCGTCAGATGATGCAAGCATGCGACAGCCTACCAATCAACCTAGGCATTACGGGCAAGGGTAACGACTGCGGCAAGAAGAGTCTCAGAGAGCAGATCCTAGCAGGCGCAGCAGGCCTCAAGCTTCACGAAGACTGGGGCTCCACCCCAGCAGCAATCGACAACTGTCTCGAAGTCTGCGACGAGTACGACGTGCAGTGCATGATCCACACAGACACACTGAACGAATCCGGTTTTGTCGAGCAGAGCATTGACGCCTTCAAAGGCCGCACAATCCACACATACCACACCGAAGGCGCAGGCGGCGGCCACGCCCCAGACATCATTTCCGTGGTCGAACACCCCAACGTCCTTCCCAGCAGCACAAACCCAACCCGGCCCTTCACCCTCAACACCCTCGATGAACACCTCGACATGCTAATGGTCTGCCACCACCTATCAAAGAACATCCCCGAGGACGTAGCCTTCGCCGAAAGCCGCATCCGCGCAGAAACCATCGCCGCCGAAGACGTCCTCCACGATATCGGCGCCATCAGCATGATGTCATCGGACTCGCAAGCAATGGGCCGCTGCGGCGAAGTAATTCTCCGCACCTGGCACACAGCGCACAAGAACAAGACGCAGCGCGGACCGCTCGGCAGCGACGCCGACAGCGGCGCGGACAATTTCCGCGTGAAGCGATACATCAGCAAGTACACCATCAACCCAGCTCTGGCGCAGGGAATGGCGCACGTAATCGGGTCCGTGGAGGTCGGCAAGGTAGCCGATTTGGTGCTGTGGAAAGCGGCGACGTTCGGCACGAAGCCTGTATCTGTTCTGAAGAGCGGAATGATTGTTGCTGCTGAGGTTGGAGATCCGAATGCGTCGATCCCAACTGTCGAGCCGATGATTACGCGGCCCATGTTTGCTGCGCGCGTCCCGGCTACGTCTATTATGTTTGTTTCGCAGGCTTCTATCGATGCGGGTATTGTGCAGACGTATGGATTGAACAAGCGTGTTGAGGCTGTGAAGAATTGTCGTTCTGTTGGGAAGAAGGATATGAAGTTTAATGATGTTATGCCGAAGATGAAGGTCGATCCGGAAAGTTATACTGTCGAGGCGGATGGGATGCTTTGTGATGCAGAGCCGGCTTCGGAGTTGCCTTTGACGCAGGCATATTACATCTTCTGAGGTGTTTAGTTCTTTCTGTCTCGCATACCCTTAGCCTTTTTTGGTCTTTACTGCTCCTATATACCTTTGTTCTTCCGAGTTGGTCGTTTTGTGTGATATAGGATTTCTATACAACGAACTTTACTTCTACCTTTAAATCTACTGCACTTTGCCATGACACACTTATACAAAGTCAATAAAACAATCATCGATTAAGCAAACTATCTTTTTTCCCTTCTTTTCTCTTCTCAAAACCCTAAAGAACCCAACATGTCCTCAATAGAATCAACAACAATCCCATCCGTACTGCGCCCATTAGTATTAACAAGAATATCCACCCAGTGCAATAAGCAAGCAACAAGATCATTGCATATACGTGGCACATTGTAGCTATAAAACCCGTACGGTTTCGCCAGGACATAAGCATTGGCACGAGCATCAACAGCCATTGTCATAGAAGCATCCTTAAGCCGATGAACACTATAAACAAGCTCACGTAGACTCTCAGCAACGATCTCGCCAGCCTGGAGATTCGCCCTAAGCACTCTCGCCTGCGTCTCCAAATCGAAGATGAAAGCCGCGCGCTCACGTTTGGGCCAGGTCGGGGAGGCATAACGTCGAAGAAAAGCGGTACGTCGAACATACGAAAAGAAAACCGAAGAATAAACCAGGTATGTAGTAAATAATAATCCAATTCCAGAACCTATCTAAAAGCACAAGTTAGCCACAATCTGATCAATCAGTTTCGCCACAGCAACAGGGACATCAGTGCAAAGGTTATCGCGCAGTCGATTCGCAAGTTGAGTACACTGGCACTTCAGCGCGGCGCAGTGCATAGGAACAACAGTCTTGTAGAAGCCGCTCTGGTGAACCAGGACGTAGGGGTGATGGCGGCTGTCGACGGCCATCTTCATCGAGAGCGAGGCGACGATGTCGAGGTGCTGGATGAGCTGGAAGCGCAGGTTCGGGATCACGTAGGCGCGGCTATCGATGTCGTGCCGGAGAAATCTTGACTGTTGCTCCAGGAGGGTGACGAGGTCGTCGCGGGCCTTGCGGAACGCGGAGACGGCGGATTGGTTTATATGCGGCATGGTGGAGTGAATGAAATCAAGCGAACGTGGGAAGCTATAGATCTAGATGGAGATGGAAATGTTAACGTGAAAGAATGCGTTGGAACGTACCTGGGTTTCCGGAACTGAGATACAGCTACAGCTACAGCTGACGCTGGTGCGAGTCCGCGACTCGATAGGTGGAAACGAGGATCTAGATATAGCCCAGGTTAGCCAGTGCATGCTCCAGCTCCAGTGCAATATGGTGTTCGACGTTGACAATACGCCGGTGGATGTGGTCATGGAGGGTCTTGGCCATCTGACGGGTGTCACGGCCGACCTCGTCGCAGATCTGGGGGATAGTGCGGGTGAAGTAGGCGATGCCCTTCGAGTTGACATAGGCCATCTCGGCGGCATCAACAGCGAGGGCCTCGGAAGCCCACTTCACCTTGTCGCACTGAATCTTCAGGGACTGAACGTTGAGGGCGATCTCAATAAGGTAGTTGCCCTCGGGTATCGACCGCAAAGTGGCGACATAAGAGCGGATGTTCTTCACGAGGATACCGCGCTCCTTCCAGTACTTGAGGATAGCTCGAGTACCGCGGAAAAGCTTGTGGGCGATAGACTCAGGCATCGTAGGATGGGAGAGGCTGTGGTCCTCTGGTGATATAAATGGGGAGATGAGTAGATAAATGGATCACTTACCTGTTAGGGTTAGTGAAGGAACTGTGTAGTGGAGCTGCGAAGCTCAAAGTAGTGTAAAGTAAGCCGGTTGTACTGATGTGTGAAGAAGAACCGTGAAGCGGATGATTCCTCGAAATTGTCAAGGCATCGGGACCTATTTATGTATTTGCATCTCGCTGGTTTGATCAGACTGGAGATAAAGCCTTCATTAAGAAGAAAGGAATAAAAGGCATACGGGTTATTGTTGGGAATCTTTTTTCTCTTTGTCCTTGATATCTGCAAGCGGCCACGATATTGAAAGGAGTTAGTTAGTATACAAGGCCAAAATAGTTCCAAGGTAAACTAAGGCTTTGTTATAATTTTAGCCTGGCGAGGCCATTGTTTTGTTCTTTGTTCTCTATAAAGAGATTAATGGTAACGGAGATGCCAATCATTCAAGAGATCACTGATATCGATGGTCTACTCAGGGTTTTAGGGCTTGTATCGACGATGCGGTCCAGTTTCGACCAGGGCTCCCAATAGCCGACCAAACTTGCTGTTTGTATAGGCCTGCGGGGCTGATATTCAGGAACAGCAGTGCGCAGTAAGTAATGTAGTAAATTGGAGCACGTAAATCCTTTTGTGATCCATTCCTAGCAAAGGAATGAAAACCCACAATGGGTCCAGCTTGCAGGTCTCCAGGCATAGTTCCATCGGCGAAATACCAGATAACAGATCGATAACAAGATGATAGAGAGGGGTATTATACACAGTAAAATTGAAGGACAAGGTAGGAAAGAAGAAGAGGAAAAGATCCATGCGCCTACCGATATGAAGAAAACATCAAGCCTATAACTCAATCTCCTCCTCGCCATGATTATCACCCGCCGAAACAAGCGACACATCCGTCCACGCAGAGAAAGTATCTTCGCGCGCCGCTAGGTAAGCAGCAACACGTGCACGGCGTGAGCGATTCAGGGTTTCTTCTCTTCGAGCTGAGTCCGGTAGCACATTCTCAACGGAATTTCGGTCCGGAGAGTCAAACGCTGACTCGGAGATGGAGAGAGACAGTATGTCAGTGTGTTGACTGTCTGTTTGTTGGATTAGACGAGGAGACGTGGTACCATCGCCAGTTAGATCAATGATTCTTGTAGATGTGCTTGGGTCGGACCTGGGTCGGAGACCTGTAGCCGAAGGTTCTAAATCTGGCTGGCCAGGTATGAGCGTATCCACTTCTTTACTGCCCTCGTCACTGGCCGGATCGAACCTATCTTCTTTTTCTGTTGGCCATGTAGACGGGAGAGGATTGACTTGAAAAAGCGCAGGTTCTGCATGCTCTTGAAGATAGCGGTGTGCTTGACGGATTTCGTTGCGCTTAACTCTGGCCGCCTCTTCAGATTGACTGAAATGAGGTAGAGATTCCTGCTTCCGATCGTGATGCTGGCTTGCATCGGCGGCACCAAGACTGAAATCTTCAATGCCACTACTGGTTTCTTGTGTGGACTGTGTGGAGAGGTCCATGTCGTATCGGGCCCTTTTTCTTGCGCGCAAATCTCCCTCGTCGTCAACATCATTGGCTACAACCTGCCGCATGTAGGTGTCGTGCGAAAAATCAGTTCCTGAACAGAGATGGCCGAACAAACGTCTGATGGAGACGTCTTCGCTCCAGGTCGTTGGATCCACGGTGCATGGATGGATGTCCTTGGGCCGGAAGGCAGCTACGAGCTCACATAGCTCGGAGTAAGAAGAGTGTCGTGAATATGGAAAACGCTATAATGACATTAGAGAAAAATATCGGAAGAGAACAGCAGCTCCACTTACTATCGTGTTAGGCAGATCTGGCTGGGATGACCGTTTGGAGGTATCAGATGGACCATGGCTTAGAGCGGTCACCAGATTCTTCAACGAAATTTCTCCCTTCTCCTTCACGCCATATGTATCAAGCGAGAGTGCTTTCTTTCTCGACCGGAACGCATCCAGAAGGGCGCTTCGCACCTGCGAAAGGGCTTGTTTATCCTGGACATGTTTGAGACACAACTTCTCCAACTCGGCCAATGCATATTCATCTGGCAGCTCGAGTTCATGTGTTTGGTACAGATCCCCAATGCCACCACCCGCACCGACCTCGGGAATTTCCGCACCACCGGTTGTGCGATTCACAATAGGCACAATGTAGACTGTATTGGTGCCGCGAGCTGCCGGGCACGAGACTCCAGGCTCACAACTGTGGATTCGACTTGACTCGTTGTTGCTTAGACAGCCTGTTACAGCTCTGTTTCCCAGGTCAAAGCCACATAGAGCAGGAGCTTCACTAACTCCCCTATTGCCTGGAGTCTGGACCAGAGACCGATAAAGTCCCATCTGGTAACGATCCACATGGATCTAAGCTATATTAGCCAGTGTTATACTCGAGCTGCGTGATATTCATCACCTTTGTGTTCAGCGCAGCCGAGAGCGCTATCCAGACATCCTCGTAGCCGAACGTCCACGCACGGAAGTAGAAGACTGTATGGTCAGGATAAGCCTGGACTTTCTGCAGCAGCTCAGACAGTCCCTCCGCTTTGGAGGGAAACTCGCAGAATGGATTTGTCTTGCTTGCAAAGGTAGAGTCTAGATACAACTTATCTAGTCGTTTTTGTCCTAGAGTATACGGTATCAAGACCGGGTGACGGACCAAGCTGCTCACCCACCATGTCTCGGCTGAAGATAATCAGCCAGCAATTCAATCGAGACGAAACATCGTCGACTCACCTCGGATGTCACCAGTGTAGATAATTGCCTTCCCGTCCCGTTCAACTAGAAACATCACAGCCCCGGTGCAATGGTTGGCATCAAACAATGTCACCTTGATACTACGTCGGGGTGTGAGTTCAATATCCGTTGGGGTATTCAGTGGAATTGGGCGCTGTATGGGATGAGCTCTTGGTCAACTCTAGTTAGAGTTTAGAACAAGATACTAACCAGAAGCTTTGCAAGATGCTTATAGTGCAATCGGCGTGACTCTAAGATGCCTTTATTAAAGTTCATCCGATGGGGATACTTTTCAAACCGGAGGAGCAGCTGCACATGGTTAGTTTGATGAATTCCAATAGGATGGAGAGCATACCTCTCGTGTGGCTGGCGAACAGTAGATGAATGGTGCCCGAAAGGACTCCAGGCCCTGTAAATGATCGCTATGCACATGGCTAAGGAAACAAGCTAGTGGCGCCGGCCGCTCGGGGCATTTCCGGAAGTAGTCAACTGCTTTTCTTAGCCGTAAGTTTGGCTGATCTCATAGGTGAAGCTCACTCACTGCGAATGTCCGGAAACTCTGTCGGATGATTAGCGTGGAATGGGCGTGGGAAGTGCCAGTCTCACCTTCTATAATGCCATCGAAGGTCGACATGGCAGTGTCTAGAAGCTGATGTCAGATCTGCACGTCCGAGGTTGCCCAGGTGAAGATGTGCTGGATTGCTAGAATAGGTACCTGGACATATTCCTTACTTGCACGTGATGCGAACATAAAACCCAAAAGGGCAATAGAACATGTCCAAATCTGTCGAATCTTTCTAGAATTTAGAGTATTTTGATTCGACGGACCATATTGACTTGAATATGCGAAGTCCAAGTCCAAGTAAAGGAATGTGTCGACGTCTTTAACAGCTGGCCGTGCATCGTGTGCCAACGCACACTCCCAAGGGACTCTTAGTTATAAAGCCTTGTAAGCCGTCTCGTCCCAATTCTATTTTCTTTCTGTTATTCTTTTCCATTTTCCATTTTCCATCTTCCATTTTCCTTCTTTCTCTTTCCTAATCGATTTCAATGGAACGCCTGTGAGACCTTCAATTCCCTAAGGGTCAAAGAGCCGAAACGTCAGCTGGGCACCTGATCGGGATTTTTCCTCTCTTAATTATTATATCCATTGACCTGGATTACGGGAAATCCAGTCGAAGAGCACTTCTGTTATATTCTCGAGACTTTATTGTACGCGCCCTGTCTAGCGTGTTACCCCCCACTGCCAGCTGAAGCCCTCCTCACCCCCAAAAACATCCAAAACGTCACAAACGTCCGGGAATTTGACAAAGGGCAAGGGGGAACCTTCCAGGGCTGGATATCCTAAATCACATTCCAAGGTGTCTGGGACGACCTTGCCGCCTTGATTTGCTCTTTTACCTCTTAACTCCTTCCACATCCGACCTTTCACCATGCGTAAACCATCCGTGGGCCAGATCGTGTATAACGCCACGTTTCCACGACCTCGCACAAACGACCCAGGGTCCTTCGGTGCTCACATTACTCGAAACCTCGTCCCAGAAGTACGTGTCGAGACATCCCTTTTCTACGGTTCGCTAGACTGCATCGAGGCACAATACCCGGGGCTGGACTACTCGTATGGACCGCATCGCATGCGACTGAGTCGATTCCCATGGCACCGAAAGCTGTTCCGCACCTTTGACGAACTCGGTCTGACAGAGGAGGAGATCTCCAATCTCTGTCGGTGGGAAGGGACCAAGTCCGCGCGTCAGCGGTACGAGGCAGAAGAAGGGATTATCGTGCGGGACACCACAGCCCACTCAGTCCGACCGGCATCCCCGCAACCCGCCCCTTCAATCGAGATCCACTTCAACGACGACGACTTCTGCGGGACAGAAGAGGAAGATGATCAGATCATCGAAATCCAGAGCAATGATACGGTCCGTGCGATCGATTCCCGTGCTTCCAGTTACCGGTCCGCCGAGGAGGAGCATGAAATCGAAGAGGAACTCAGCGACGAGGAAATGGAAAGTTGTGGCGTCGCCCTCAACAACCGGATCCTTGCTGCGATGGCGGCGCGCGACCAAGGCACTGATGTGCCGCTGGACGAGGACTGGGAACAATGGCTGAAGGAGGCTGGAGAGCGTGGCAGTTTCGGCGAGATGGTGAATGCCATTCGTGCGAACCAGCCCTTGACTCTTGTCGCCGGCAATGTCCGAATCCCACACAGTCGCGGTGCGGCCCGTGTGGTGACAAGGGCGGCCTTGTTCACGGTGCCAGACAGCATTATCACAAGCACTGCTCTTCCATCTACGTCCAATCATGCCTCGGGCACGGCTCAATGACTGCATACTATTTACTCGAGACCCTTTGAATAGGGCCCGGCTATGATTTCTGTTTCGCATTTTTACGGCGCATCTTACCTCTCCCGCATTGTCTGAAGTGGACTGGCTCCTTCTTCTCGGGGTTCCCTTTGCTTTTATCTATATCCATTGCTCTACCTACACCTCATCCAGAAGAGTCTCTTGCTTACGCATAGATTTCATTGTCTCCTGTCTCATTTTCACTAATACCCTCATGCTCCTGTTCCTTGCCACGCTTTGTTTGACTTGTTAACTCTTTCCTTATTTGCTTTGCCGGGGCTATTTATATTCAACGTGGTAATCGGAGGATTTTCAGCAAACGGCAAAACCTTAGTCATTTTAGCTTACTCAGAAATATATCTATGAAATATCACTTATACTCATGATCATCCAATAGCTGCGTACTGTAGAGCTCAAGATGCAGACTAGATCTTCCCTGATATTAAACATTATTTGAAAAAGCTGCTATTCGGAAACAAAGGGTGAAATCAAATAGCATATTCATGTTCGACATGGATAAACTCCCATACTCTGCCTTCACCTCTCCAGTTAGTGCTGGTCACCATTAAGTCACTCAAGGACAAATTCTTCATTGATCCATTGCAAACACAACTGCATGTTGGTGTATCGCATCTTCCATCTTCTGCAGTATTGTACAACATCGTATATTTCATTGAACGTTAAAACGGAGGGTGTGTTCTTCTCTTTTCTTTTTTGTCAGGTTTGGTCCTGGACACGCTTCTGGTATGTCCATAGGTCCCTGCGACTGAGGTTAGCCAATCTTATCTTATAGCTATGCACTGTTTGGTTTGGGGGGGGGAGGGGGGAACCAGAGAACTAGAGACTCTGGTGAGACGAGAAGTGTGTTCGACGAAATACCTTCATATAAGGAAAAACAAGATGTACAATATGGGTGGAATCCATGGATTGGGGTGTGAGTTGGTAATAACCTTGGAATGCGGGGATAGCTATAAATTATATATCACGTGATCTAAGTTTTCACCGGCTTCAGCCAATCAAAGAAACACGATGTACAAAGTTTAACCTAATTAGGAATAGCGCTATGAAATATTGATTTCGATAAGCGCTCCGCTCCGAGTTCCGCTCCGCAACTGATCTCCATGCCATGAACATGAACCTCGTTTCAGCTCTTGTCTGATTGAATTTGGCTGATAGACTGCGCTGCTTCTCACTCAGCTTAGTTATTCCACATTCCTTCAAACCCTACAGCATCTCCACGATGATAAAGGCAATCTTCTACAGTAAATTCGACACGATAGAGGGTAAGGACCTTCAATACCATGATAAACCTTTAATTACCTACGTACTGACCATTGTTATGCAGGGCCCAAAGTCGTCCATCAAGTCCCCGACGGAGCCATCGTACCCTCCCCCACCGCACCCTCACAACCACCCTTCCTCACCTTCTCGGATGTCTCCTTCTTCGTGATCCCCCGTCAGGAGCTCTGTGGAAACCTTTTGCAAGTCTGCACAAACGGATATCGTATCCTGGGCTACCCAATATGCATGAAATCAGTGCGGTACGACCGGAATGAATTCATCTTCAACTTCTGCATAGTCCTCGCCGAGGAGGAGGACTTCAGCACATATAAGAGCGTGGTGCAGAAGCTAGCAGACCTAATGCATGGTCTGGAAGAGCAGAGTGGCTTCTTGTCCCGGGATTTCTCGAAGAGTGGGGAGGGGAAGGTATATAGTCTCTGTGAGATGTTGATGGAGGACTTGAACAATTATTGCGAGTGCATGATTCCCATTGGTATGTCTGTGGACCTGTTTGGCACTATTCTGCTGCTAACTATTCTATCCAGACGAATTAAACACCCTAAACATAAAGCTTTTCCCGATATATCCCTCTCCCCCGCCCGTCAAGGCCTGGCAAGTGCCGCTCTTCACGTTGCGATACCAGGCTTTCATGGATGAGAACTGGGACTTGACCATGCAAAGGGTATGTGAAAGACAACAATGTCCCCATGGCTAGAAACATAGCAGCTGAACCCTGCCAGATCGTACCACATATCAACGGCGTCAACAGTGTTCGCATCATCTCTGTCCTAGCCGACACAGACTTCTCCCTCACCTGCCGCGCCCTCCGACATCTCCTTTACTACGGCTGCCTATTTATCCTCGACATCTTCTCCTTCTCCGCCATCTACGCCCCAACCGCCCAATTCAGCCCAACAATAGGCTCCGACGAAGCGATGCAACTAGAATGTGCCCGCTACGTAAACCTACGCTTCGCACCACACCCACCAACCGGCCCCTCCTCCCCTCTCCCCCCAAGCCTAATTCCAAGCCCAAGCGCCAACGGCACAAACGACAGCACAGGAACAGCCCCGCTCTCGAGCTCTCTCACAGACCCCTCATCAAGCCTCACACGCGAGGAATCCCGCTTCGATGCCGAAGAAATCTGGCCGTTCCTAGGCGCCGAAGAAGACCCCTCCACCTCCCCAACGACACCCCCAAACACGCTCCACAAACCGGCAATCGTCGACGGCGCCGCGCTGGTCGAGCTCTACGCAAGCTTAAAACAAGGTCAGAGCGTCAAGCAATGGTACGCAGCGCACACCCGCTCTCTAGCCAACATCGACATCCGTCGCTTTATCACCTTCGGCGTGATAAAGGGCTTCTTGTACCGCGTACACAAATACGCATGCGCAACGAGTCAGCCTGCGCCCCCGCCGCGCGCGTCCTCGTTCACGCCCACGGCGCTGTCCTCGCGCGCCACTACCGGCAATAATACGCCCTACGCGGTCTCGAGTGTCTCGGAGGACGCGCCTATCTCGGCGGTTGCGAGGAGGGAGTCTAGTCGGGAGCGGGCTGGGTCGGTCGTGAGTGGGGGTCGGAATGGGAATGGGAATGGGAGTGGAGGAGCGGCGTCGGCGCTTTGGGATGAGGAGGAGGAGGTTGAGGATGAGGTTCTTGCGAAGTATCTTGATGGTACGCATTGCTTTGATCAGGTTTGTACCGAGTTGGAGATGAGTGAGAGGGAGTTAACGGCTAGACTGAAGAGGTATCCTTGGGAGGTACTGATTATTCATAGATGAGTTTGGTGGAGATCTCCTTTTGTTTTTTTGTCTTTTGGATTGCTAGAATCCATCGATACCCTACTTATTATCATGTTGGCGTTGACATGACCGGAAATATATAATAGGTACTAAGGTACCTCTGGAGATTTGAAGATTGGAGAAATTGTTTTCATTGAAAGCTTACAGGTTGCAGCTTGAGAACAAGAATACACGGACGTAGTCACACCTAACTAGCTAGATACATGTGGTGGAAGAGATCCAGTGTGTATCTTCAAGCGGAGTGTAACATTGCCGGGGTCCAACGTTTGATGCGGTGGAATAGAGAGGAAAAGAAGAGGTATCGCTAACGCCACGCCCAGTCCATCATGCATTCGTATCGTATCGTGCGGGAAATAATTCAAAAGGTTGAGGTAGCTACATGTAACAGGTAGCCAAAGGACAGAAGACGAAACCCGGAAGAAAGCGGAGAGGCAAGAAGATTTATTCCTCATCCCAGTTCTCAAGCTCGGCTTTCTCGTATTCAGCCATAACTTCTGGGTCGAAGATCGTCTCTCCCTCAGAGGGAATGGTAGTCTTGATGTCGTCAAAGATAGGTAGGAATGCCTCGTTCCAGCGACGACGACGATCCATTACAATCTTTGCAGCGTCTCCGACAGCGGGACGGGAAACGCCCGCAGAACCAGCGACGTGGCTGCCGCCACCTGCGCCGCCAGGCCGGTGCTTGGGCTGAGCACCCTTCTTGCTCTTGCCCATAGTGCGGGTGCGTTTGAGATAGGCCTGTTGGACCTGAGAGTCGAGGTCGTCTTGGATGGTAGTAAACTCAAGCATGGCCATGTGCTCCTGAGCAATCTTCAGAATGCGAGCTTTGCGCGCATTGTTGGTGACGATCTGCTTTTTGAGCTCGCTTTGGAGTAGGCGGAGTCGCTCAGCAACTTCGTCATCGTAGTGAGCGTCATAGTCAGGATTATCATCTGCACCGAGGAAACCGATGAATCGTAGTTCGGCTTTGGCGCGTTCATCGAGTTGAGCATGATCTAGCTTTGCGACCGAAGTTTTGAAGTCGTTTGGATCTGCGTCGCGGAAGGTGGTTGCAACAGGGAGAGGCTTGGTTTCGCTCTTGTTCTCCTTCTCAACAGTGGATTGATCGATGTCCATTGCGTCTCCAGCTAGTCCACTCACACTAGCAGTATCCCCATTTGCGGTTTGGTTGGAATCTTCGGGCACGGTACGGTGTTCATAACGGAGGAGAGAGCAGAGTCGGCTGAGGAGAGGTCCAACTGAGACTTCGTTGGTCTCGGCTTTATCGTCAGTCAGCTGTTCAATGTTGCCACGGCCTTGATTCAAAGGCAGCTGGTCCTTGTCATCTTGACTCGAGTCGTATGACACTCCATCCTCTTCCGCCCAAATTTGACGATAGCTTTTCTTTCCGCGACGGGGCATGATGAATGGGGTAGTGCGATCACCCTGTGACAGGTCAGCTTGTGGGAACATTAAAGTAGCTGTAATTGACCTACCCTTTCTTTTAACCAGGCAATGTCCTCCTCGGTAAGAGGCCGGACGTAAGGTTCAATATAAGTTTGGAAAGTATTGGCGCTGACTTGGTTGGAAGGTTTGGCGTTGCTGAAGTCCTTGTCAGGAGCCACGCCAGCTGCCATGTGGGCAAGATCGGTCTTGGGGAAGTGGGCAACGCTGTAAATCTCTTTCTTATCGTCGTCCGTCATGCCTGGGAGAACCTCTCGGATGTTGTAAATGGTCGGGTCGTCAAACTTCAGTGGGTTATCGCCAAAGACTTGCACTTGAGGAATCGCAGGTTGGGGATCAGGTTGGTGGGAATCGGCACTGGTATCAGACCCGGGGGTCCCGGGGGGAGGGCCGTCGCCAGCAGTGGTCGTGCCGTTGGGGGACATCATCGAAGGAGGTGAAAGCGAGGAGCTTTCATCCGATATCGCATTCTTGGAGTTTTTCGATGCCGGGGAAGCCGCTGTTGTCGGTTAGTGAAGGCTGAACAGTCGGGGAAGTGAAAGAAGACCAAAGTTGTGGAGATGGGGTGGGTAAAAACAAAGAGTGGGAAGAAAGCGCCGAGTTGGATCTCTTACCTCCCTCAACCTTAGTCTCAGCTCCATCCTGGCGCGCTATCTCATGTGCACCATGATTTAATGGGCGCTCCTCCTTTCCACTTGGGCGCTCTTTCCGCTTCTTCAGCTTGCCGCCCTTATGAATATCGTCATCCTCTTCGGTTTCACGTTTCAATTTGGAGCGATCTCGAACTTCACGATCAAGCTCCTGATCTTCCACTTCCTTGCGCTTTTGAGACATCTCGCGCATTCCAGCATTGCAAACTTCGCCCCTCATATCGGCCATGTCACTAAGACCCTTCAGGTGTTCCACCAATGTCTCCAGTGTTTTTGAATCTGGAATGTTCTGCGCGGACACCAGGTCCAACACATCGGAGTACTGCACACTAGCCAAGTCAATGTGCTTGGTGACATCGTTCTCCAAGTAGCTTTGGATGGGTAGTGATGCGATAGCGGGAGCACTAGCGCTGGACGGGGTGGTGTTGCGGCTACGCGACTGGCGCGCATCGCGGCCTTTGCCTTTGCCTTTGTATGCGGACGGCATTTCAGATCGATGATCGGACGAAGGAAAAAGAAGAGATGAAATGATCCAGATGCCAAAGACAGTATCAACGAAAAGAGAGATTGGTCGACAGAAAGGATTCTAGGAGGTGTGGATGGGACTAGACAGACACATGCTGTCGTTGGTCACTGAGAGCGAATAAGAATGAAAGGAGGTTGAATTTCCCCCGAAGTTGACTGATCATGAGCTAAAGCAGATACAGAACAAGAACACCTTTCACGGATGAGTTATGACTCTCGAAAGGTGGTGATGGTCGGCGGTCGCTGGCGGTCGGCCAGAGTATATGCACGTGATGGCGATACGACATGTATCATCACGTGCACCACCTTCGATTCATTTCCTGAGCAACTTGCCAGATGGATGGCTTTGAGACGATTCAATTTTTTGCAACTACTATACAGCTTTTGCCTCACCAGTTGAAGGCTCACACATGGCCTAGCGCCAAAAATGTGGTTAAGGTTGAAAACCGATACACATTCCTACAGTTCTGCGGAGAGAACCCCAATGTTGGGACATTCCGAGGGATGAGGCATCAGAGAGCTAATCGGGGGTGTTTGATGAACCGAAAGCGTTGAAGAATTACTATTTATAACATGGACTCGCTAAATCTCAATGTCAAGTGTAAAAGCGTGAAAGTTAGCCTGTTGATGATCATCCCTACAAACGGTCTGCCGTGAACGGCCAAGTTTAGCGAAGTGTACGATGTAGACCCCCGCGCTCGGCCATTTCTATTTGTTTACTCGTTTACGGAGACTTCTTCGAAATGCAAACTCAGTGTATTTTAGCCAAGACGATTTTGCCTCTTGCCTCGTGGTTGGAACCAGGCTTATTCTACATTCTTGTGCCGGTCCCGATTGACTCTCGCATTCTTCCGCTGTAGAGCTCTAATTAGCAATAGGGAGTGTATGGGATGCTTCAGGGTTAAATGTCGTCTTAAATGACTCTGCCTGAAACCATGGTGGTTGCCATTTTCAACCTCTTTCATCTTCAACTTCTTTCCCCTATGCACATGCCTTCCTTACGGATCTCAAGCATTGAGACTCATAGTGTATCCTTTACTTGACATTCGTCTTCACTATTCACTTGATCCAGCATCAAGTATCATGTCAGTCGATACGATGCCTTCCCGAGACCACTCGGTGGGTAAAGTGGCTACACTTTGGGCAGGTTCAGGGCAAGCTTCGAATTCCACCTCGTCAGTCGAAGTAAGTATGCTTTCTTCATTCGGAATTAACCGACAGCCTCCGGGGCTGATCCTAACTCGCATCATCACATAGGAGAATGTTGCCTATCGGTTTGTTCTCGATCGTAAGGTTCAAACGATATCGAGCAACAGCATACCCGAGGATGGATTCGTATCAGGCCTCTTGTTTGTACCCAGTTTAGAGCCGCATGATCCGTGCTATGACATTACCGCTTCGTCCGTACCGGCAAATGTGACCCGCTATAAAGATGTGTCAGAATTCGGATACTCACTCGTTGGAATTGCTCCATGGGTAACCGCGGAATGTTCGCTATCGTTCCTCTCTGCCGCCCAAAAGGTCGGCACGCATGCTATGATCTTTTTCCAGCCGTCAGACAACGAGACCGACATACCACCTGACTCGAACGACTCTCGCTGGGCAACCAAAGATGGAGATAAATGGAGAATGGACAACAATTACCCAGTGTATGCCATTTCAGGCCCAGCTGGAGCCACATTGATCAATGATCTCTCGTGGTATTCGAATGAGACACCCGACAGCAAGAGAGATAAATCGACAGAAAATTTTGCGCTACAAACCGAGACCAATCGATTGTTTGCCAGGATTGAAACTGGTAAGTCACAGAAATGCATCACTATCGAAATCAATGCTCACATATCGTAGGCGAAGAAACTGAAGGGACGTCGCCGAGTATCTGGAGCTTCGTACTTGCAATTGCAGGAACTGTTCTTATACTCAGTATCATCCTAATGATTATCTATCGACTTGTCCTGCGCAAGAGACGGGCTCATCTCCAGAGACGTGTTAATGCAGGCCAAGTCGACATCGAGGCCTTGGCACTGAACCAAATGACGGCTCCTCAAGAGGTGGTGAACAAAATGCCACTTTATACGTACTTGGAGATCAACCCTACAACGGAACCAACGCTTCCAGAAGATAATGCATTGGCGAGTCCAATGGGTTATGATTCTGGTGACAAGACCAACTCCTTATCGCCCAACGAAGACAACCATGCTCAAGACGAGGCTGGCATTCGGAAACCCGAAGCAGTGATGATCAAACCCGGACAGAATGACTCTTGTAGAAGCAAGTACCGCCTGAGCCACACTCAGACAACTTGTGCTATCTGTCTCGACGATTTTGTTGTTGGATCATCTACGGTCCGCGAACTGCCTTGTGGGCACATATTTGATCCAGAGTGTATCGATCCATTCCTGACCCAGAACTGTTGCCTCTGTCCTTTATGCAAGAAGAGCGTTTTGCCAGCGGGATCATACTATATCTCTGTGACCAATGAAATGGTGGCACGAGAGCATCTTTCGAGGCGGTCTTGAATGCAACACATGAGATTGCTTTCGCTTGCTTTTAGGTCTTTGATTTTTGAATTTGGAAGACTATGCCTCACAAGGCGCCAGCATGGAGAGAGCGAGGTTATCGATTGCATTTACCGAGCGAGGTGATTTGAGGATCTTGACGTTTTTGTATGATATTTTGATAGTATTGAGTATCCGGAAAATTTATCCAACAATCAAAGAACTTTGAACAAAATGATCCATTTATGGAATTACAAGATTAGTCGGTCACTTATACGGTTGAAGAAACTTATAACTAGGTCTTTTCTTCACTTCTGGCCATTGGCCTATAAACATAACCGTACAATAAATACCTAAGAGTAAACCCTGAAAAACAAAATCCTCGAAGAAGGGCATTTCCATTTCTAATCCTTGATTTTCATCTGATATTGCCCAAGAAAATGAACGAACATCCATAGTATATACCAAATTGGAGCCGGTTGCAGCCTTAGGCACGTAAATAATATTGACACCTTATCTTTAGGGAATTAAGTACTCTCATCCTGTGATTGGCCGCGGTGGGTCAACTCGCTAATCGCTAGCGTCCCACACACAACCTCTGCCTCCCGACGTTTTCCTCCTCGAACTTTTTGCGACAACGACAACCGACGACCTCGTACAGCCGACAAGGTACGTTTATCATCTCTCATTTCATCCAATCTCCGCCGACAGTGCATTTATCTGACTTACAACCGTCCAGATGGGTGCCCTCAAGTACGTGGAAGAAATCCAGAAGAAGAAGCAGTCCGATGTGATTCGCTTCCTGCTGCGCGTCCGATGCTGGGAGGTGAGATAAAATCCCTTCGCCCCCGATTGCCTAACATCTCCGCCGAGCACTGGTGTGCGTTGCCTTAGGATATGCCGTCTTTATGTGGTATTGCTAGGCGGCTCGAACAAAAGTCATTCGGCGGAAATGATTGTGGCACGCAAGAAAACCCTTCTGGGCTTCATGTGTCTTGCTATACACTCGTTGAACTTTGCTGAGAGTGCATAATATAGCTCCGCCAGCTGAACGCCATCCACCGTGCCTCGCGCCCCTCGCGCCCCGATAAGGCCCGTCGTCTCGGTTACAAGGCCAAGCAGGGTTACGTTATCTACCGTGCCCGTGTCCGCCGTGGTGGCCGCAAACGCCCTGCCCCCAAGGGTGCCACTTACGGTACGAATTTTCCTGTCGAAAGCAGATTTTCTGAATATCTGTGGGAATTGAAGGAATTTTTTTGGCTAATGTGTGATTGCGTGAACAGGCAAGCCCACCAACCACGGTATCAACCAGCTCAAGTACCAGCGTGCTCTCAAGTCCACCGCTGAGGAGCGTGTTGGCCGTCGCGCTGCTAACTTGCGCGTCCTGAACTCCTACTGGATCAACCAGGACTCCACCTACAAGTACTACGAGGTCATCCTTGTCGACCCCCAGCACAAGGCCATCCGCCGTGATGCCCGCATCAACTGGATCTGTAACCCCGTTCACAAGGTGAGTTTGGCTCGAAATGTGACTGATCCCCGAGAGCTTTGCTGATAGGTCTTTGTTTCTAGCACCGCGAGTCTCGTGGCCTTACCGCCACTGGCAAGAAGTCCCGTGGTATGAACAAGGGTCACCGCTACAACAACACCAAGGCTGGTCGCCGCCACACCTGGAAGCGCCAGAACACCCAGAGCTACTGGCGTTACCGTTAAGTGCGGTAGTGCACTTTCCCAGTGGTTACGGTTGGAAAATGTTGGTTACGGCATGTGGTCATTTATTCAGACACTTCTTTCCCAGACAGTGTTATCCACGCTGGGCTCAACTTTAATGCAGACCAGCCGGCTCTGTTGTTAGCCAAAAAGCCATCTTGTTCTATGTTTCGATTCCCCTATTAACGAAGTATGACTGGTTCGACTCCATGCCACTGGTATTGTAGAATGCGTAGAGTTTTTTTGTACTAGTCCGATGGATATACTTATGCCTATCGTGAGATCTTACTGGTTTTCATTTCTTAGTGCCATAGGTACTCCGTGCTTGCGGGGGGCCGACCGCGCCTTAGCATATCGCCAGCAAGTAGTCTAGTTCACTTGTGGCTAGGAGCTTAATCGTATTGTTTTTGCAAATTAAGAAATTTTATGCGTTCACTGCTGTCTTTAAAGATCATCGGGATGTGCGTTATCCCACAAAAATAGACCTGTCGCCTGCGATTTCAGGCGGCTAATCCATAAATAGAAATTCGGAGCCTGAGGCATGAACCACTTCCTTCCCCCGGCCGCTTTCCCAATCCGTCCACAGACTATGAAATGCTGCTGTAACGATCCGTCAGTCTTCTATTGGATCCTGAGGTGAGATAGTTCTATTATTTGGTGAGATTTGACTTGCTTACTGAAGGTCCTTCCCTGCAATAGACCAACCTGTCATTTACCAAACAAAGAAGCAAACTCGCCTTACTCGACTGCCTTACCCCCACTCCGTCCTCCACGATCTATTCGCATGTGTCTGGCACGAAGAACAAGCTCCACGAGCTGGATATCACGCTGGAAGGTTGAATTTGGTTAAATCAAACCCAATCAAACTGATGCGCCTCTATGCCGTCCCGGTTTGAGCGTCATCCGCCTATCCCTCCGAGCTCAACTGCTAGCGACGCCGCCATCCCTGGACTACACCCTTCCCAACACCCTGGACTGGAAATTAGCCCACGCCGCATAGTTCGGCCTCGCGATGCTTCAATTATGGCCCCGCTAGACGGCAGTGCGCCTAAGAGTTCATACCACCGAGGACATTCACGCTCGATCAGCAATCCGTTTGCTGGGTTTGGGCGAAAACGGGACAAGACAGCAGCCAAGTATGCGACTTGGGACTCTGACGACGACGGTGATGATGAGGTAACCTTTCCCTTGGAGCCCGAATCGTCAAGTCCTCGGAAAGGTGCAGCACCTGGAAATAATATCGCCGAGGGCAAGTGCCAGACTTGTGATGCTACTGTCCGGTGGCCACGGCACTTGAAGGTGTTTAGATGCACCGACTGCTTGATGGTCACAGATCTCGAGCCGATTTCTCATGAATCAAAAGACAAACCACCACAGGGGTCTCAGAGTGGAGCGTCCAAGTTGGCAAGCAAAGGTAACACCCCCAATGCTAGCTTTGCGTCATAGACTGTAGAAAATGCTGATTCGTTACCACAGTGTTCCCTTTGACAGCCAATCAAGCTCGTGGTATGATCGGAGGATGTCTCAACGTGTATTTCGATAGCCTTTTGAACAATGGCTCTCGGTCATGGTTGTCGCCGGAGGACGACAGAAAGAACAAACCGCTGCCTGATCTTCCGCCAATGCAGGTTCATGGCTCTGGTCCAAACGATCTCTCGCCCCCACGGACTGGGGATTCTAGGAGCCGCAGTGCTTCCCATTCTAGTGGACGGGAAAGGTCGGCGGCGTCGAAAGAAAACCCATGTTACTTGACAGCACCATCCGTTCGCTGGGAGGGAAATGAAACGCCTGTCAGAGTCCGAGCAAACTCAGATCTCCGATCAACCCCAAAGCTAGACGGCCGACCGCAAGACGTTCCGCAAGCTGGGGACCCGGAGTTTCAAAGCTGCGACAATCGGACACACATTTTCAAACCGCTGGAAAATACTATCGCGACTGCCTTCAAAGGCTGTGATTGCCTCAACGAATCTTTCACCACATACCCACCTCCTCGATCCGCCCGGTCAGCTAGTAGTGGTAATCCGCCGAGAATGAGGATGGAACCGACCACAATGCCCCAACCAGCGCACGATGCTCCTGTCTTTGAACCAGATGCGAAAACTCTTCTTTTGGGAGATTTGACCGAGAACTCCTCTTGGTGGATGAATGAATGGGCTGAGGCTGAAGGCCAAAATCCCGCTTATTCCAAAGAGAAGAGCAACCCAAAGTCTCGGATGGTATCATCGCGAAGTCCTCGGATCAATTGGACCGAGTTAGCCCAGTGGTACCATTCAATTCTGTCTGCGGGAAATTCTTGGACTGAGCTCTGGGCCGCTAAAAAACCCGACCCCACACGATCAGAAGCGGATTCGATCCGAGCCAAGAGATGGGCGTCTATTGATCCGTCCTTCATTGGGAGACAGATCAACGAGTCTCGTCTGCACTTACAGCGGGCATTGTTGAAAGCTACCGAAGGCCTTCTCAAGCGCCCGCGCCGTGTCCTGAGGAAACCAGAAGATACCAGGTTCTTGTTCATATTGTTAGCGAATCCTGTATTGTCTTCACCTGCGTCTTATTCCCAGCATACGGCCACCTCGCCGTCTCATAGAGACGACAGGCGCCCCTCGCATCCAAAAGACTATCCGAAGTCGGCAACCCAAGACAGAAAACCCTCGCCGAAAGAATCGGCCAAAGCCCCTGCTCGTCTAGAGGGATCCAGTCACCATTATGGAATTATCAAACGAATCCTAGGACTCATGTCTAACCTGCCCAATGACTGCCATCACTACGTCGTGTCTTGGGCTTCCCGTTTCTCTGTCAGGCAGTTCGAGCGACTGGTAGAACTTGTCGGTGGATTTCTCACTTACCGCTTGAGTCGTCAGCATGGGCGAAAACGCCCTCAAAACCATCAAAATGGAAATGATCTAATACCGAGCTTCGCCAGTGCTTCGGGAAATACCCCTGCGGAACTTCACGCTGCGATTAATCGAAGTAGCCCGAACAAGAAATCTGGCAAGAAAACCGAAGACCCCATAATATATTCCGAGGACTGGCAGATCAGAGCGGCGGCAAGAGTAATGTCGCTGTTCTTTACGGCTAACATCTCTGCAACGAGGAAATCCGATGGGACTCCGCGCAGTCTTGAAATGCCCAAGAACCCAGGCCCTCGTCATGGACATATGATTCCGATCAGTACATTTTACAACACGCTGTTGGACTATTCGGATCTAGTGACGGACTTCGAGACTTGGGAAGCTAAAGTCTCAAAGTTTACTTTCTGTCAGTATCCGTTCCTCCTTAGCATATGGGCCAAAATCCATATCATGGAGCATGATGCGCGTCGTCAAATGGAAGTGAAGGCACGAGATGCATTTTTCACCAGCGTCCTCAACCAAACGGCGGTTAGTCAGTACCTCGTGTTAAAGGTACGGCGCGAGTGTTTGATTGAAGACAGCCTCAAGGGAGTGAGTGAAGTTGTTGGTACTGGCCAAGAAGAGATTAAAAAGGGTCTCCGAATTGAATTTTCGGGCGAAGAAGGCATTGACGCTGGTGGCCTGCGGAAGGAATGGTTCCTTATGCTTGTCCGAGAGGTCTTTGACCCGCTTCATGGTAAGCATTTTCCGATTTTAGAGTTAAGTGACTGGCTAATTCCAAACAGGCCTCTTCATCTACGATGATGATTCGCAGTACTGCTACTTCAATCCTTATTGCTTTGAGTCATCCGAACAATTCTTCTTGGTTGGAGTTCTTCTAGGTCTCGCCATTTACAACTCCACCATCCTTGATGTTGATCTCCCGCCGTTTGCGTTCAAGAAATTGCTGTCGTCAGCACCGCACTCTAACGGGCCCCAAGCGGCTACCTCGTTGCGTTCGATGTTCAAATGCACCCTAGAAGATCTTGCCGAGTACCGACCAACTCTCGCCAAAGGACTCCGGGGTCTACTTGAATTCGAAGGCAATGTTGCCGAGACATTCTGCTACGATTTCGTTGCCCAGGTCGATCGCTACGGCGAGGTAATCAGTGTGCCACTCTGTTCAAATGGCGAGAACCGGCCCGTGACCAACTCTAACAAGCGTGAGTTTGTGGATTTGTATGTCCAATATCTGCTAGACACAGCCGTGGCTCGACAATTCGAACCTTTCAAACGCGGGTTTTTCACGGTTTGCGGTGGCAACGCGCTATCACTATTCCGACCAGAAGAGATTGAAATGTTAGTACGCGGCTCAGATGAGCCGCTCGATGTCAGTTCTCTCCGGGCTGTGGCCACCTACGACAACTGGTCACACCCACGACCAGAGTCGCTCCCTGTGGTGCGATGGTTCTGGGACTTCTTTGAGAAATCGCAGCCTCAAGCACAGCGCAAAATCCTCTCATTCATTACTGGCAGCGATCGGATCCCAGCCATGGGGGCTACAAGCCTTATCATCCGGCTTGCTTGTCTTGGAGATGACTGTCCCCGTTACCCGATTGCGCGTACTTGCTTCAACACGCTGGGCCTTTACCGCTATCCCACGCGGGAGAAGTTCCAGCGGCTGCTCTGGGATGCAGTTGTAAATAGCGAAGGATTTGGCTTGAAATGATTTGTTTATTACTGCTCAGAACCTGTGTTGGTCGTGGTGTTTGAGATTTCGTATAGACGCTGGACGTTGACTTTGGAGTGAGCTTTGCATGTTAATATTTTGCGTCGGCGTTGCTTTCTTTTGCTTTTCATCATGTCATGGCGCTCTGGCACTGTTGTTTCTCCCTTTGCGGACTGCACATGAGGTTTTGTGTCTTGTTATTGATCCAGTCTTGATGACTGAGAAAGTCTCTTTGACATTTGCCTTCTTGGGTGTTGTTCTTACTCTAGCACTATGCAGTAGCACTCTGCAAAGAATACAGCACACTTGACTACACTAAGCTCCATAGAGCCCTCCCTCAAGCCAACAATTCCGCAGCCTTCCATAACAGGAAAAGACAACTCGAATTCCCCCACCACCACACCAACCCCCTAACCTGACTCCAATTAGGATGGTCCACAAGAATATAAACAGCGCCATAAACAATGCGCGCAACAGTATACGATAAGGCCGCAGCATTAATTTTCTGCGCGGGGACACCAGCCAGCGATGCAAAGAGCACACCGGCAACCAGCAATGGGAAATTCTCCACCGCGTTAGCATGCGCCGACTCATTACGCTTGAGCATGTCCAGCTGCCTGCGCGTGATCTTGCCTTCGCGCACAGCGGCCTCACCGTATTTGGTCAGGTCTTCGCGTGGCGAGACTTGGTGGTCGAGGCCGTACCATTGTTTTAGGGTGCGAGAGGAGAGGAGGCCGTAGCCGAGGGCGAAGTTGAATGTTAGGAATATGGGGCCGTAGTTTGGGGTGTTGCTGAGAGAGGCGCGTAGGCCTAGGGTCGTGAGAAGGGAGGTCATCCTTTTTGGGGATGAGTTGGAGTTGGTGGATTTGGGTGCTGTGCATGTAGGGATTGGAGTTGTCAATATAGGCAATGGGACTAATATCTCACCTCATGTCTGCGATGTTAGGTAAGCCTTGCTCACCTCTGAAGTTAGAAACCTCAAAGCCATGCTCTTTCTGAAATTCGGTGTAAAACCGTAATGGTTTTCAAAGGCTTATATCCAGGTTCTCCTTATGTATTTTCTCTATATACCATCCAAATCATAGAGTAATATAAAAATGCAAGATGAAAGAGGCAACTAACGGTACAAGATACCATTAACCATCTCACCAATCGCCAAACAACTGGTCAAGCCCGGGCTCTCAATTCCCAACAAATTGATAAACCCAGGCAGACCCTCTTCTTCCCGGATGATAAAGTCCTGGAACCCCTTACCCTCATTAACAGCACCGCCCCTCCCCAATTTAGGGCGAATACCGCAGTAGTCCAACGCAATAGCATTGACATCGACACCAGGCAGATAAGCCTTAATCTCCGGCAACGCCCGCTCCAAACGCGCAGCGCTCGGCGCTAAATCATCAGGACTATCCACCCACTCAACATCCGGCCCAAAACGAACGCGCCCGCCCATATCAAGCGTCAGATGCGTACCCAGCCCACCAGTACCCGGCAAAGTCGCCGGATAAACCAAAACCGAAGTTCTGGGCCTAGACGCCGCATACGAGAAGTACGTGCCCTTAGCATAATGCGGAACAACATGGCGCTTTTGCGGGAGGAGCATGTTGCTGATATCGCATGCGCCATGACCGGCACTATTAACCAGTGTCTCAGCGGTAATAGAAGTAACCGAGCCATCCTCATCCGAGACAGCAGTAATCTTATACCCGCCGCGGCCGCCGTCGATAGCCTCCACGGCTGTCACGCGCGTCTTAAACGCAACATCGCCTCCGCGGTCCTCAAAGTCGCCCTGTAAATAAGTCATCAGCGAGTGACTGTCCACGATGCCGGATGTCTCGCTCTCGACGATGCCTGCGTCTGCCTTTACGTCTGGTTCGCGTCGCTGCGCTTCGTCGCGGCCCACTAGCCGCGTCGGCGCGTCACCTAGCCCTTGTGCGTGCGCGTGCACTTTTAGACAGGCTTCCCATTGTGTGGGGTTTTGCGCCACAATCCATTTCTTCGTATTGCGGTGGGGGATGTTGTTTTGTGCGCATAGGTCGTAAAGGAGGTTGCGGCCGCGGATGCAGAGGTTGGTTTTGAGGGAGGCTGCTGGGTAATAGAGGCCTGCGTGAATTACCTGGTTCGTGACGGGGTGTTGTTAGTCTGTTTGGTTTTTCTTGGTCGGTTGCCAAAAAAGTGGGCTTATCGTATAGCTTGCATACCTCGGAATTGCGACTGCTCGTCTCTGTCCCTGGTGCGTCATGTCGCTCTAGTAGAATGGTTGAGGTGCCTTCGCGAGCTGCAAGTTGCCGCGCGGTCGCTAGGCCGACGACGCCTGCGCCAATTACCTTCCATTCAGATTAGCCTGAGGTCTGTCTTGGATCTCGGGTGTAATTTACCGCATGGGTGAAGTCCGCATTGGTGGGTTGGCTGCTGGAAAAGCAGCGAGTGGGAGGCTTATTTTTAAGCTTAAAATGCTGTTTAAATAGAGCACGTGCAGACATATCAGGAAGGCACAGTTGACCAGCAATCTGCGAGGAAGGAATGATATTCGTGAGATCTGGAAGGAACCCCGCGACCTCGGGGATGACCTCGGAGGAAATCCCGAGGCCGGATCACGCTAAGCCCTAGAGAACATGGCTTGAACTCAAAGTACACGACCCCTGGAACTATAAAAAGTATGAAAGTGTAAAAGTGTAAAATTAGAACTTTCATCAGTGGATATCTATAAATACATAGTGTGCGAGAGAGAAAAGCAAGGCAGAGTTCATACCCTGTCCTCTGGCTAAATATGGACAAAGAGGCAAAGGGAAACTCCTAAAGGCTCGGGTAGACCTGAAAGAAAGTGAAGGCAATTGTTTCCAACAAAGACTCGGCCAGAGGTATTATTTAAATGACCATGTATCCCATCAACTCACCTCACCATCCCATAGTGAGCCCATCACGAGCCAGCCATCACAATTACCCCAAGCTCATATCGACTCAACCATCTAAATCCACACTTCCCATCTGAACCAAGATGCCCCAACCAGGTATGTTTTCTCGCCCTGATGGCTCCAATATCGCCGAGATCGATACGAAGGAATATGTCCACTGGGTGACGGTAGACTTCAGCAAATTTGGCGGACGAACTAGGCCCACCAGCGGCGAGAGAATGATGCGTCTTATGGCCGAACAGTGCCGATCCGGTGTAGCCACTATTACATCTACGCCCCAGCATCACAACCAGCAATGCTGTCTCTCGTTGCCCGTTGCCGGAGACGCCGAGCTCGTACATGTTCATATTCTGTGGCGTGCAGCTGAGATTGCTGATTGGCATTGGGAGGAGATTATGGCTGGTAAGGAGACGCTTGATACTAAGCGCGTTCTGGGTGAATCTCCATGGTGGTCTCGCGATAAGGTGAATGGGGCCTAGTATGTACCTCTAGGCCTGGGTAGCTGGGGTTTATTTCGGCCGATCGATTATGGATTAGATTCTGACGGAACCTAATACTGTCAATTTAGTTGTTTTATTTTTAAAAAAGAAAAAAAAAAGGGGACAATCAACCCGTTAGAATAGATTTCTTTCGGCCATCTCAGTTGAGACATCATCACTCCACATCCATAAGAACATCACTCATTATGTATAAAATATACGAGAAAGTCTTGACACTCCACTTCCCAGAGTCCTTGAGAAGCGAGGCATAATCAAGCAGTATTCGACGCGCAGACTGATACCCACCATGGAACGGCAGTCCTCGCAAGTAGATAGTAGCCCCATTGCGAATGAAGTTAACAGCAGGATCACCAGTCGGCGCGAAAGTCTGACTTCCCCTGGGCTCCATGAAACTCGTAAACCCCTCTGTCCCCACCGATCTCCAGTCGACATCATCCATCAACTCCACAGACCCGACACTAGACGGCGAATTAGCAGAGTCTGACGCCATGAACGTATACAGACCGAGCACTAATCCAGCCGAGAAGAGCGAAAACATAGATTGGAACGTGGGGTGGTCAGAAGCCTTGCGATTTGCCATAACTTTGTAGATATGCGCAGCGTGCAGACACGCACGTCTAGCTGCAGGTGTCTGCGACCACTCGCGGATATCGTCGAGGGCCTTGCGCGCAGGAACCGGGCCTGCGCGGCCAGCTGCAAGGTCGAATATTTGGATATCGGCCGTGAGAGTCATGCACATGTTGTGCCACGTAATGAGAGCGTTGGGGTTTAGGCGATTGAGGGTTTCGCCGTAGCTTGTGATGAGCTGGGATTGGAGGGAGGGGAGGCACCTAGCTCGACCGTCCATGGCGTAGGTGTGGCATGGAGCAAAGGGATAATTGGCTCTATTGGAGAGGAGGCGGTGGTAGGATTCTGACTGGCGGAGTTGAACTATTGCTAGTACTGCTTGTATACAGAAGTCATCTGCGGGGGCTTCGAGGGCAGGGACGTTGATGTTTTCGGATGGGGCGAGGACTGTTGATGAGAGGATGCGCTTGCCGCCGCGAATGAGCTGTGTCCATTGGACGGAGGAGTGGGCGGAGAAGAGAGGTTCGCTACAGGGGAGGATGAGTTGGATCGAGTCCGGGACTACGATTGGACCTGTTGAGAGGAATGAGGAGTACCAAGAGTCCAGGAACAATAGTCCGATGATTACTCTGGAGGAGATTATTAGTGATGAGTTTTATGGACCGGAATCGCGGCATACCTCTTGGTTGATTCGACTTTGCACCAGGCTTTCCATCTCATGTCAATATCGGGAACTGTTTCAAATAAAGCCATGTCAAGGATCTGCCCCTCCATGGCTGAAAATAACCCATGTCTTTGGGCGACCTGCATGCAGTAGTTGTCATTAGAATCACAGCGACAGAGGAAACCAAGAAAGTTCCCTTCTGACTTACAGACATGACGTTGATATAAAGAGGTTGGCACTGTTCCAGATGTCCCTTTTCCTGCAGAATGACATCGATTAGTACTTGAAGTCCAGCAAACTTGGCTGGGGGATTCATACCCCGGTCAAACCAGCCAGGTTTATCAAAAGCAAAACTGTTGCAAATAATGTCACAGTGCCGGAAGCGCTCTCAAGTCCTACTGAGCACCGAGCAAATTCAGCTGTTACCTTGTTCAAAGCATCCTAATGACTGTCAGCAGGCTACCTGCATATATGACGAGCCTAGCAATATTTGACCTACTGAGAAATTTCTGGACACAAACGCGGTTGTTCCTTTAGTGCCAAGCAATGTCATGCCAACCAGTGTCATGACGTATAGGAGAGATGGTCGCGCGTCCTTTGCCGAAAAGGTCGGCAAATGGACAAACGGCAAAAGGGGACTAAATAGACGGAAAAACAAGTCTAGTGCCATATCAAAGATCTCAGCGGGAGGGAAATCAGAATGATTCAAGGTCGAGGTAGGCGTGGCTGGAGGGATATTCCTATCTATGGGAGGTTGCATATATGCAGAAACAGTGGTCGGTCCAAAAGCTGCCTGCAGGCGCCATCTGCAATCCTCGTCGAATCCACACCGCGAGCCTTGAACGACACTTGGCTCGTTGAGAAGGTGCGACGACTGAACGGAAAAGATATTATCAACAGGCGACATGGCGATATCCCGCCATAGACTGTTGATAAGACGCCCAGTATTCGCTGGTGCTAGCCAGCACTGCTGGACTCTAGCGAAGCGTTCACTTGGAATTTTATCGCTGCTATCGACTGAATGTCGGTTCTGCTGGTCTGGAGCAATCATCAAATTGTCACCCATTAGAGGGAAATTGCTATCGTCCATCAGATCTAGCGTGTCATTTGACGCTGAATCTGTGCGAGGTTCAAGCCAAATTTGTAGCAGGTCTTTTTCCCCATGGTCAAAGGCCAAGCCAGCTCGGTGCGACATCTGAGCTGCCTGCGTGACTGCATTCCACCCAGAGTACTGTAGCTGGTCGTCGATCATCATTACGGCGAGATCTTGATCGGTACGGCCATGGTGGGCTGAAATGTCGGCTAGGTAATCTAGTGACGATGGGAGCCCAGTTGATGCAAGAGGCGCATCTCGCGAAGTGGTAGATACTGGAATCTGTGTTTCAGCGCTGGTAGCACCATTTCCTGGTTCGGGGATCATTGATGATGCCCCCAGAACTACCGATGACTGTCGATTTGGCGCTTCCGATGGACCGGCTGTCGCATTGGCTTGATTATGGCCCTTGGCATGTCGGCTCAAGACATCGCTGTATGCTCATTAAATTTAGGGATTCGAACATCTGATTTTGAATATTGTAATAATTCTCATGTGCTTTCAACAGAATTTACCTTCGAGAGAAACGCTTTTGGCAGACATTGCATTCATATGGGCGTTCCTTGGTGTCTGCTTTGCATGTTAGGTTGCTTCTCTTGCAAGGGTTCGTCGTGACTGACGCGACCGCTCATGTCTCTTATAATGTTCGGTTTTTTTGAACACCCGCGAACAGATGGAACATTTTTTTAAGACCATCACGGCACTCTCAAAAAGATGGATGATTACGGTAAATGTAGCTCTCAAGACTTGCTCCGGGGAAGCCCCAGGAGGGGAAATATATATATTAGTCAGCAAGTCCACCCAGGACTTGTTCCAAGGTTGACTCTACTGGAACTAACCCTATTGGGAATTCTTAATGCCTTACAGAGCTGGCACTAGTAATGTGTGTTTTAGGGCAAAGGCATTACCCGGTTACTTCACTTCAATTGATTGCTCTCTTCGACTATTCGGAACTCCATGTCCACCGTAATCTGCCCATCCTCGGCATGATCTCTTCTGACTCCGCTCATTTCGACTTGTATGTCATGTGTAGTCAACAAAGTCTCGTCCCAGTCAAGTGGCCTTGGTCTGCGAATAAATGTTCTTTTATTCGCTACCTCCTGTTTTTTCTTTGGAACACCACCATACCTCCCTGTACTAGTGCCAAACATGCGAGCGATAACGAGGCGGAGCAGTGGATGCAACGTTGGAAGGCAGGCGCATAAGATGCCGATGCAGGGCTCAACGCTGGACCAGACGAAGAACTTGCCCATGACCCAGGTGTAATCGGCGGAGGTTCTGAGGAAGGTGATGTAATAAATCCGGATGAGACTTGCAATCAAGACACTGGAATATATGAGCTTGAGCTAAATGCACTTGGCTTGGGGGTAACACACAATCCTCCAACCAAAAAGATGCCGGATAGCATGAGTTTCTGTGTCCACCGCATTTGCAGCTTCCACACGATGGGAATTGGAACCAACAGGATGATCCCATCCGTGGCGACATTGATTGCAGCATGGCTAATATAGAATGGGTAGAGGTTGAAAACGCATTTTCCTCCACTGCGTTCTTCAAACTGCGTCCAGAAGTACGAAACTGGCCTGCAGCAAGCCAGAAAGGCGATCGTGCCAGAGAGAAAATATCCAATTGTCAGGAACACGCAGAACCAGATTGGATATGTCATGCCGAAGATACGGCGGTAGAAGAGAAGAACAGATAATTTGATGAGTGGAACGGTGAGCACGTAGAGCACGACGAAGGCGAAGAGAACGCGCATCAATTCCACGGCTTCAGCGGGAGAGACACTCCATATATGCTTCCCGAGACCATGATGTCCACTTACTGTCAATATCATTGTAGTCAGAATTGAGATCGCTTTTCGCCGTCTAAGGATGTATACATACCAATCACAATCAGAGCGAAACATGCGGTTACGGCTAGCTGTATGCATCTGTCAGAAACGCAAGTCATTGTTTGACAGTTCCTCTCTTTTTTCATACCAAAGCACCCACGATCATCCAATCATCTGCAGCTATTCGCTGACCTTGCACTCGCAATCTTGTATAGAACCGAAGCCCGACAGTTATCACTGCAAGGACATAGGTTGCGATCACAGGACCAATTTCCAGTGAGCCGTGATCGGCGGATAGATCCGTCCCGACTGGAGCCTCCCCGAGCGGGCTAAGCGACATACAGAGAATTGGAAAAAGGCGCACATCCGATGCAAATGAGGTGAATACTGGATGAGGTATTCTCTTACATTTAAGCCTAATCCTAAACCAAAAATTTTAGACTTTTGTACTTTAGTTCTCTTCACAGGCTTTAAAAACTAAGAAAAGGCCCCAGACCACATGTGGATAACATCTCAACCTCCACTTCCCGTCCCTGATGAAACCCATCAAATGATATCAACCTATGGCGTGGACTCTAATCCTGCCTGAGAAGAAGGATTCGGGCCTAATTCATGCGCCCGGTCAACGCTACTGCGAGTGTCTCATGGATAGAGCTATGGAGACAACCCCTGAGCCTGAGTTCGGCGTAATTCATTGGGTCCTAAGTCTTCCGTCTTCCTACAGTGGAGAGTGGAAAAAGAGACAGACAGGGGGGGGAAAGTAAAACCTCCACTGTTGAGGAGCACTCACCATGTTGTCCAACGAATTCCTTTAGGTACAATGGGATCATCAATATAGGCCCTGGTCGATATGGATCCAAGGATGATAAGCTCCGAGTCGTCTGCATAGGGGCAGGTTTCTCCGACCCAATTCACGCCCATAAGCTGAAACGCGACCATCCGCTTGATTCTGCGTCTTACCATATAGAAAAAGAACTCCGAAGTTGGAGGCTCATGGCTCGAAAATGTCTATCCCAGTCTTGGATGCGATGTTCTGCCCACAGCTACGTCTTTCCATTCGAGCCCAATTCGAACTGGTCCAAACGCCGTGCTGGTGATGCTGAGATGAGAAACACATTTCGACACAGTAGATAAGTATTGATCGAAAGATCCGATCTTGTTTGATGCCAAGCTCGTCAAGTCCATCTGGAATGAGGAGCGAGGCAAATGGGCGCTCGAGCTCAAACAGAATGGCAAGATCATCCACGATGAAGCGGACATTATTCTCGGCATCATCACTTGTTCGCTGATACGCTTGGGATAAAACGTACGGCTGGACTGACAAGAAGATCGCAGTCATTGCAATGGCCGAGATGACCCCCAGTCATTCCTGAATATAGGAAACGAGTTGACTCATAGGCTGCCTACTAACTAACTTGATATTCGTTTCGGTAGCTTCTGTACTAACTACATAGTCGTCATAATTACTAACTAACTAGCTAACCAGTTCCGCTGCGTGACACCTTAGGTGAACCTTCCTAATTGGGTACATGTAGTTAACTCGCACTCCTGCCTTAACACCTCGGGTACCTACAATTTCCATGTGAACCCCTAAAAAGAATGAACCACTTTCCATCACATCTCATTCCGACTCCAAGGCCATCCCGACCTCCCTGCACCCTTATCCCGCACCGTGCCGTGCCAACCTTTGAAGCACCGAGACAGGCCCCGAAATAGGCCCGAGATCGGCCCTTGAGCGCATCACGCTTTTATCTTGTCTTTTTTTCACTACTTATCTGAAACAAGATAAATTGTAACATTGCAGGCATCCCTATCAATTGTCCGAATTGGATTCTGAGATACTTATATTTGCAACAAAAGAATAGAGATCTTCATCTCCATCCGACGGAAGTTGACCGCTGAGCATGAGCATCCAGCCCAACCCAGACTCCAGTTGGAAATCGCGTGTCTCAGGCTGCGTGTTTGGAAGCCTTCCATGATTCGGGATTATAATGTCAGATCCATTCAATATTCGTGATCGCTTTCTTAGGGGTTAACCAGCCCCATCCGGTTCGTAGTAGCACGGGTTCGAAGCTCCCATTTGTGCTATAGTCTTACCAGGAGGTTTTTGGCGCGATTTGCACTCTGCCAGGGCAGAGAGAACTCATCGAGGGCTCTCGAGGTCTACATTAGTAGAATTCCAAAAACTGACTGATAAGAAGCAAGATTGGCACATGGAAAAGAGAACACATGAGCAAAGATCACAGAGAAGAAAGAAGAAAGACACAATTTCTGGGGCACTTGCAAAGCCGCTAGATGGCTTTGCAGCCTTATGGTCTGCAAATAGTATATGACAATCCCTGCCACTGCCACCAATCTTGTCCTGCAACCCTCCGTGGAAACCAGTCTCGGCAATAAGAACCTGCTCGATGCCACAGACGAGGATTCTCCACCTATTACCATGGCCTCAACCACCTGAGGGTCCCAAACTCCACTGTGAGCATTATAGGTGTTGGCCACGTCTGTCGAAAATCCGGCCATGGATTGAGAGCAGTAAGGTTTGACACACATCCCAACTGCAATAAGATAAATATCGGTCGGGTTAATGAGTGCTTCACGAATAATGCACTAAGAACAGGGCTAGCGTTGTGGGGTCACAACCAGTACCAATGTATTATCTGTTGGCGAAGCGATACGCAGGAGATGTTGTTCTAAAGCCTGAGCCAACATAGATGGGCCCGAAAGATCCACGGTTCGCCCTCACTCCGTTTGTTGAATGCTCCACCGAACCATATAGGGGCCCAAAGCCCGGCTAGTGTGACCTTCCAAGCGCAAGGGCGGCGGTCACGCAAGTGTGACAAGTGTACACCTGTCGTGGTATACGCCGGACAATCCAGAAAACGAAAGTGCATAACTTGAGCTTTTCTGGGAAAAGCATAATTGGGACCCCAGCATTTCCAAGGCTTGCATTTAGGTATGAGGCGATAAAGCGAAAGTAGAGATATCGTCGAGCGGGGATGATTGTTGCTGATGGACTTCAACATCATTTTGAGATTATCTATTATATTGTCAGTGATCTATCCAATTTCTTTGCTCAAAGCACTTACCTTGCCCATTGTTGATTTCAAAAAGGCAGTGGTTGCTTTTCGATTCGTCGCATACCACGCACCCTGATTTGATAAGGGTCCCAGTAGTTGGGACACTAGCAGCGGTATTGGGCTAGAGGTTGTTGACACTCCTTGCGAGTGCATTTCCTAACTAGATATAAGTTAGCTAGCTCCTCATGGCAGAGATGATGACATTCCACGTCCCCATTTTGTGGATTAGAGAACACAGCGTCTTAGAGACCAAACAGGTGCAAGTTCTCCTCTTGAGTCTGGGTCTCGACTTTAGCATCAAGGATATGGCCATCAACAAAAGATAAGACTTATCGGGGTTTCCTTTCTCTCGGACATAGTGAGAAATGTCGAAGTGAAATTCTCTCTGTCGCTAACACGAGTGTTGTGTGTTCAGACCATTTCATGGCGATATTTTGGCAGGTATAAGACTAAGCAGTTCAGTCGAAAGTAGCTGTTTGAATTTAGTGGCTAGATTGTTGAAAGCTGTGGAGGAATAGGATAAAAAGGATGCGTAGAAGTTGCGTTGCGGATAGTTTAGTTCATGGGTGACATATGTGACGTGAGACACGTGCAAACAAAAGTCCGGAAGGTACCTAAGAAAACCTGACAAAGGTACTCTGATGTCTATTGAATGAATGAGTACCGATGGAAGGTGCCCTATATCTAAAGTCTAGTCTCTTTCCCACAGAAAACAATCTCTTCGCCAGTAACCAAACCCTTCTGCAAGGCCGAACCAATAACAACAGCCTTCACCGAGCTTGAAAGGGAAACTGCCCAGGTGTGGAGTCATGCTATCTAAGCAGTAGGCATTGAACTCATTAGCCTCTCTATAATGCTTATAATAATGCTTAGGAAGATCATGCCTGGCTCCCTGACCATCACGGACCTCAAGTGGTTCTTCTGGCCTTGCATGTTGACTCTGAGTGAGCCCTTTCAGATTATCTCGGTAGTACCTTCCTGTCCAGTAGCCATCATGCGTGAGGAGAAAAGGGTAGCGATCTTGCCTTATCTGGGTCAGCTTGTTGAACAGATAAGAGATAACAAGACCGTCTATGGCATCTTATCGACATATACGCATATCGGGTTTCTAGACGGCTAGAGGAATTTCTGATTCCAAATGAGCAAACCGATATCGCAAATAGCAACCCAGCCATCCGTTAGGCAGTATATTATGGCGGCTGCTCGTTCCCACCATCCGCTATCACTCGTACTTGAACAGCTCTGCATTAGAGCTGTTCGTCACACCCGAAAAGAAAAAGGTTTCTTTCTCAGAGATTTATTATCCAACCCCCGGGTTAAGTTTGGTGCAATCGTGCACTATCTCTATGACCACTTTAGAGCGCGTGATCGATGCTAGTACCACAACGGTATAGGCCCGGCAGCGAGGGCAAAAGCGCATGGTAGACGACGAAAAGACAGACGCTTAGCTGTTTATGGAATTGTCGCTGTTAGAACTATATAAAGGCATCTCGTGCCTCGCCCTACGGCAAGCGATGTTAAATCGCTTGCAACAATAAGTGGAGACCGTGGAGGGCAGTCTGATGTCTTTCCTAGTGATAAATCCGTTCTCTTCATCTTCTTGAAGCGAGTTCGTTTGTCTACGAGACATTGCTACGTCCACACTGAGAGATGTTGGTACAAACAAGCTACCGTTTCCCCACCAGGACTCACCGTCCTACTCTCAATGTTACCTCAGTTACTTCTCTAAGACAAACGAACTATCGTCATCCTCACACATATATCTATCCGCTCTATTCCCTAGCTCATTTCTTACTCTTTTACATCCCCATTAACTCTTTTTTGTTTCCTTTCATCCAAACCCTTGACATTTCTCTGCCTGACGGCATCTGATATCCTGTCTCATACAAGTCAGGCTCTGTTGATATGTCCGAACCCGATGACTTTACACCGATATCCGATTGAATGAAACTCTCTGTGACCGCTACCATGTCGATATAGAATAGTATAGCCGCGATGTTTTCAGGTATTATAATAACCTACTAATGTAGTTGTCATCATATCCCTCGTGTATTCTTCTGCCTTCTAAGTTTCACTTGTTGCCTGATATCTATTTAATTGACTACAACGTAAAACTGGATCGATATTCAAAATCCATCTTGATTGGCTGATCTCGCCGGGTAGGGCAGAATGCTAATTTACTATTACCTCCTTCGTACGAAGTCTAGTAATTAAGTCTACCGTATTAACTTCAATGTTCTATAGTGTCACTTCTTACGATATCTTAATTTTACAAAGGTTGTATAGAAGTCCATTCTTACAAATTAAGCCTTTTTTGGCCCTTTCTACTATCCACCTAATAAACTAAGAAGACCGCGGCCGACAATTCTTGTCTATAACAACTCAATTCCTACGATATCAACTTCTATGTTGTCATTTCCTACACTATTAATTTCTATCAGTTTCCATAGTCAATAAAAACACATATACTAATTTTATGGATGCTGGCAGAATACGACACGGCACACTGGCGGCTATACACTGTCGTAGATATCGAACAGCATTAAATCAAGAAGTACTTCTGATTCACCACAAAAACTGACGTTGAAATTCGAACGAAGGGGCTCCTTGCCAGGAGCTCATTCTCTCCACCAGAGCACTCTCTTCGTGTGTATTATCTGCAGACTCGAGAACCGGACAGTTCGGTGTTCTATCGGCAGTTCGATCGATCTCTCGAGTTGTAGACATTTCAACACACTGCAAACGCCTTCTCTTAGAGCCCTGTGTCTCTGCAGCCACCCTTTGAGGCTCAGTACAAGCTTGCTGCCACCTCCGGATACCGTGCGGAGTATCAAGAGGGAATTGTGGCCAACTCTCAATCCCTCTCTTCTCAAGTCTGGGGAATGGCACATACGTGCCGCTGCTCTCTCGAGGAATCGCAGCCGAAAGCTGCTCATCCGTGACATGTGGAAGCAAATTTAAAAGAATGCTCTCGGTGAGCTGGAGTCGGTTCTCCAGTGCTTCGGCATATCCTTTCTCTGGTCCTCTTCGAAGCTGTTCGGGCCAGTTGCATGGTCGATTGTGATCAAGACATTGTTCGCAAATGGGTTTACGGCCGCTGCATTTTTGCTTTCTCGAACGACATGCGTTGCAGGCAATTGTTATACGTGGTCTTTTTTCTTTTGATTTCGAGGTCATTTTATTTTCTGGCAGATCAGAACGTGTCGAGGGGAGTGCGCGCAGTGGCGAACGGCAAATCCTATCGCCTGAAAGTTCTGCCGGAAAGCCGGCTTGTCACGACAGCGGCCACTCGGTCAAAATGTGTTATATAGGGTGGGGTGAACTATCAGCCATGTTTGATCGCATGTATATATAGTCCAGGCATTTATTTGCGTTTGCTTCTATAGAAATACTCACAATATTTTCTCTAGTTCCAGAAATATTTCTTTGAACATGGCTTCGAAGAATTCATACCGCATCGCTTCTATCCCAGGCGATGGCATTGGGCCCGAGGTAGTCAGTGCTACTATCCAGGTCATCCAGAAACTCGCAAAGACTCTTGGTACATTCGATATCGACTTCGAGCATATCCCGTGGGGAACCGAGTACTACAAGCAAACCGGACGATATGTATCTGAAGATTACCTCGACAGTATACGCCAGTACGACGCTATCCTATTCGGTGCCGTTGGATCACCAGGTATGTTCTCTATACTGCATAGTGTCATCCCAACAACCTGGTAAAACAGCAATATTAACAAAAACAGACGTACCCGATCACATCTCGCTCTGGGGGCTGCTCCTGGCCCTCCGCGGCCCACTCCAGCTATACGCAAACGTACGACCAGTCCGCACCTTCCCCGGAACAAAATCCCCCCTCAATACCGCAACGGACGGCATCGACTGGATGCTCGTTCGCGAGAACTCCGAAGGCGAGTACGCAGGACAAGGCGGACGATCCCACGTCGGACAGCAATGGGAAGCTGCGACGGAAGTAGCTTTATTCACACGTGTGGGCATCGAGCGGATTATGCGATTCGCATTTGAGACAGCGCAATCACGGCCACGTAAGCTCCTGACCGTCGTCACGAAGAGCAACTCCATGCGCAACGGGATGGTGCTGTGGGATGAAGTTGCTGCATCTGTCGCACAGGACTTCGCCGATGTGAAGTGGGATAAGATGCTTGTTGATGCGATGACTGCTCGAATGGTGGCGAAGCCGCAGTCGATCGATACCGTGGTCGGGACGAACTTGCATATGGATATTTTGTCGGATCTTGCTGCTGCGTTGGCCGGGTCGATTGGTGTTGCGCCTTCTAGTAACTTGGATCCTACGCGCAAGAGTCCGTCGATTTTTGAGCCGGTTCATGGTAGTGCTTTTGATATTATTGGGAAGGCGGTTGCGAATCCGGTTGCTACTTTTTGGTCGGCCGCGGAGATGCTCGTCTGGATTGGGGAGAAGGATGCTGCTGCTCAGCTGATGGGTTGCGTGGAACGGGTTTGTGCCGCGGGGATTCTGACTCCTGATCTGGGGGGAAGTTCTGACACTCAAGGAGTTGTGGATGCTGTTTGTTTGGAGGTGGAGAAGTTGTGAAGGTCTGAGACAATTCATTGTCTTTGCTTCTTCTCTTCCTTCCTTTCTTCCTTCCTTCCTTCTTTCTTTGTTTCTTTCTTCTTTTCCGTCTCATCTCATCTGAAATATTACTTTGGAAAGAACTGATCAGTTGACCGTTGAATATCAACACAAAAATACCAAATCATGATTCTAGAAATTGACCTATAGGGGACACCTTTTTTGAGTAATGAGTGAGACATGTTCTAGATAGTCCGGAAAAATCACTTAACTGCCAAATTTCTATGGATGTCTATAAAGAGAACCTCAAAGCCATCTGGCACAAGACGGAACAGATCAGGAGTCCATGAACTAAGAAACCTGAAATGCCCATTATAGCAATATGACACCTGTTTTCCCTCATATAAAAGGAATGGAACCAACATAGTATGCTCTTGTCTTAGAGCCCAGCATTTAAACGGGCCTTAGCACCCTACTCAGGGCTTCACAGTCACTCTAAAAGCAAAAGAGCCTCCAAATAGCCAAACTCAAATCCATTTATAACGAATAACTAAGGTCAGTCCATCCCTCATATATATACATTTCCAGCTACAAGCCAGCCCAACTAACAACATCCAAGAGATGTTCTACCAAAACGGAAGGTTACTGCAAGAGCCCGAATACAACCGAACGACAAAATGGGTGAATGTATTCTTCGACATATGCGACTACAGATGGGATGACCATACCATAATGCGCACAATCCTCACCTGCATCCGCACAAGAGTCGCCAGCATCACCGGCCATGCTATGCACCACGATATCCCGCTCTGCGTCTCGATCCAGGTTTCTGGAGAACATGGTGATAGGGAGTCGATTCTTGCTGCTGCGGAGTTATCGGCGGAATATCTTCGAGTGCAGGTTGCTAGGGGGTCTATTCATATTAATCGAGCTTTGCTTTTTCGGAGATAGTGTTTTGCCCCATGGGAAGGGGCTTTTGGTGACGCTTTGCTCGGACTTGGGTTCTCTGGGAAGGAATTTTTTTGATGCTTGAGCGGCTTATAGATTTTTAGATTGGTTGGACTGAATATTTGGTAGAATAGAGCAATTATATGATGAATTTTCTCTATATTTCAACAATATCTATGCTGTAGAAGTCTGGTTTATAGCGTGAATAGGCAGCCCTAGTAATATTGCTGGCTATAGTCAAATCAAAGCAATACACTTAGGTAGCCCTCTCGATCATTTGGGTCTGAGATTCTGAGACTGTATGTCATGAGAGCATCGCCTTTCATGCCGTTATGTCGTGCTGTGGGTGGAAATGACATACTGAGGACATATACGCAATATCAAGCTTAACTGTGAAAGGTCTTTTAACAGAGTAGGAAATAGAGTAGGCAGAAAGAAAACATAGATTTTTTCGAGTGGTCAACTAGGCAGACCTCAAACTGCAGGGTATTTCCCAAAGACTTAATAAGTACAGAAGCGCAAAGACGTGGAATAGATGAAAGACTTGAACATACCATTGTACCATAACCCCTTTGTTCTTACCTTAGTAGGCTCCTACTATAAACAATAGACAGTCACCAGGAAAAGAGTATTTAAATAGAGCCATATAATTCCACAACCTTGGAAGACTCGAGACCTCCTTCCCATCCTCCTCCTTCCTCCCAATCGACATCAAACAACATTGAAGCCAAGGTAAGCAAACCCCATCCAAAACATGTGCATCCTTAATTCCAACCTCGGAAAGATGCAGAGCATGTTCTACTTCGACGGGGAGCTAATCCCAGAGCCCGAGTACGATCCGCGCCAAGTCAGCAACTGGGTGAACGTCTTCATCAAGGCGCGAGACTCGGACTCAGACGACGAGACTCTGATGCGCACCATCGCCGCTTACATCCGAACCAGCACCGCCTCGATCTCTGTCCATGCAAAGCATCACGACCACCCACTTTGCGTCTCTATCAAGGTGCCCGGAGACTATCATTCCAACAAGGCGTCTATCCTCGCCGCGGCGGAGCTGCAGGCTGACTACTATTGCCAGGAGATTCGGAACGGGAGAGTGCGTATTAATCGGGCTTTGCTTTTCAGGCGTGAGGTGCAAGACAGGGGTTGATGGCGATTGCTGGTTTATGGTCGGAATGGGGCTATTTGATGATACTTGAGCGTTTGAGAGACATACAACATACACACACCCATCGCGTGAACAATACGCATCATTTTTGGTTTGGCTTCTTTGGTATTATTCAAGTAGATTCGTTGCTACATTGTACATACGTAGATTGTTTTGAGCTTTTCGTCAGTCGTGAGTAGCGTGGTCTTAGAAGCTTGGGAATTGCTGCCCGATCATATCGAACAGAGTGTCAAAATTAGCACCCTCGATTAAATCCACCATGTTCAAGTCGAAATTCGATATCCCCTCAAGCTGTGCGGGATCTGTGTCTTGTAAATCGATCTGTAGTGAAGACGATGTATCTGTGAGGATGCCCTGCTCGTTCATTTGTGACGGGTGCATCGACGTCGAAGGAACCAGCGTGGAACCCTGTTCCCTTTGCATAGATTCTCCCCATGGGTCGTTCCGTTGCTCGAGATTGGACAGTTCTGTGGATAAGCCAGGCTCTTCTTGAAAGTGCGACAGACGACTAAGTCTCCGTCTATTCTCCTCGCGCGCAGCTAAAGATTCCACAAGTGTCGGGCTTTCCTCAGAGCTCCTCACATACGCCTGGGAATTTGCTGCTGGATCGGAGCCGCTTTCTGACTGCTGCATTTTCGCGGCCAGCACTGAGAGCGACATGTGGCAGTGTCTGGCTGTCTCCCATTGAGTAGACATCAAACGCAGGTATCCCGATAATTCATCAATTTCCCTATCGAGCAGTTAGTACGTAGTAATCAATCGAATATCAAGAGAAAAGAAAAGCACATGACGTACTGAAGACCCTTTATCAACACATATTGGTTCAGTTGACAAGCCAAAGCCAAAACCAACCCAGACATCCACGCAGCCGACAAGAAACCGGGCCAGAATAAAGCCTGGTGGCTATCAACTTGCAACCTCAGCGCCGAAAGGATAGCCCGAGCAGCCCCGATGCAAGTTTGCAATCCAGAACAAAATTCTGCAGTAGATGGATCAAGAGACAGCGAAGGCCGATGAATGATCAGAATGAGATGCTGGTACAGCACCGTGAAAAAAGGAGCAAAATCAAACGCGGTGTCTGCCACTACAGATCCCACCCTGTGTTCAGATACTGCTGGCTTTCTTTGGAGATGCGAGGGAAGACCATTCCACCACTTATGCACGTCTGTCACGAGGAACAACACCGAACTGCGACGAACGGATCGAACCAATATTGATTTATGGAAGAGTTCCAATGCCCGGCCCGTCAGAGTTCCCGAGTCAACGTAGCTAGCAAGAACATTTTCCTTGTCACGGTCTTCTTTATTATCGTGCTGTGGCGCAGAGCTGCCATTCGCAGACTGAGTCGTCTGGCCTCGAGGGGAATGTATTTCCCGGGCAGCGGGAAGACACACGTCGATATCAGAATCCTGTATACCAAGCGGCAAGCCCAAAGCCTGGCTCAGGTATCTATCGATTGCATAAGCGCACCAAAAGACCCTCTTCCGCAGTTGTCGGTCGTGGGTGGAGAGTTGCTTGTATCGAAATGGACACCGGTGGAGACCGGCGTGAAGCATCGAGCGTAGGATACAGCCTCCAACAGTCGATGCTTGTCGAAGTGACATCGTCGCGACGAGATAGACTTGGATAGCTAGAAACGCTTGTAAAGAAACGATATCATGTCGAGAGGAGAGAGTCCCGACCAAAGTGTTGAAACTGGTCGGTGATTGGATCTTCGATTCGGACGGTAGATCCAAGTCTGGCGCTAGTAAACTGCCTAGATTGAAGACACATTGGAAAATAATTGTCCAGCATGTACTCCGGTGGTCTATGCATGATTCCTGTGTCTGCTGAGTTCGATTCCCGCTGGAGTAGACATTCTCCATCGTCTGCAGGAAGGTGGGACCATGCAGGAACGGAAACAGAGGGTGCCAGACTTTGAAATACATCATCATCAGACCCTTGGCCACATCTGGGGGCGGTAGATTTCCTAGAGACGCCGTCAATGATAGGTCGTAGGTCCATTCTGCGGAAGCTTCGACCACTTCTGAGGATGAAGCAGTGTCTCTGACAGATGAGGTGCGCTGGCGCTTGTCACGAGGTGAGGTTTCAGCGCCTACGAGTGTTTCCTCCGCTGTGGGCAATTTGCATTCGGATGAATCTGGGCCATCTAGGCCGTTGAATGCACGTTTCACTGTCTTGATGAAATAGACGCCGCTCGAGCTACCCACGAACTGGCTATCCTCGTTTGAGTGTGCCGTTAAGGAACCAATTTCAGATGTCTCGGGTACAAATTCCGATGCCATTGTGCATATATCATCTCGTGGGAGCGAGATGCTTTCTTTAAAGCTCGATTGTTCCATCCATTCCATCCACCTCGGGCGTCCACGGGTGACCTCACGGCCCCGGGATAGAGACATGCTGAGTCATCCGAGAAGGCGGACAACAGCGGCCACAAGCTCGAAATTGTCGGACAGAAATCTCTACGAAAGGAACTTGATGAAGCAATAGGCCACAGCCATCCCATTGATTGTCTGGCGCTGCTCTCCCGAATCCGAGAACAAACCCAAGGACGACCAGACTTTTCCGTGAGGAATTCATAAATCTATCTGACACTCAAACTGAGTGAACCATAACTCAGAGAACGCAGGAAGGGAGAGGAACTTCACAGATCCCTCCCAGTCGAAAAAAAGAAAAACATAGAGACAAGGATGGGGAAAAGGATGTCAAAGGAATCACGCCCAGCGCCTAGAAGAAAAGACTTTTACCAATGCCAACCTGGAGACACTCAATATAGCCCAGTCCGAGTGGAATGTAAAGGGAAATAGTGCATACTAGGGAAACTGGAAAAGACAAAAAAATCTGAATGTCATACCGCATTCACTAAACACCAGGAAGGTGACTGCCTAAGAACAAACTTTTCGAACCGAGGGATATCAGGATCAGAGATAGGAAGATGTAGGGGGTAGAAAGGGTAAAAGATGGGAACAAATAATGATAAGAGAAAGGAAAAGTCGTCAAAAACGTGCGTCCAAGATTTCCGAGAAGACAAAGGAGTGAACGCATCACTTAAGACTTGTTCTCCTCAGTAGGGGCCTCCTTAGCGGCTTCCTGGGCCTTGGGTTCGGTGGTCTCGCCATCACCCTTGTTCTTCATGTACTCATCATAGACGTTAAGGGCCTCATCGACCTTGCCGCGAAGAGCCTCCTCATCATCGAGCCTGAAAGAACGTTAGCAAATCATGTCCTACATAAAACGAAAAGAATTGGCAGTGTAACTTACAGGCCAAGCAGCTCAGCGTTATCCATCTCAAGAAGCATACCAGTGATCTTGCCAGCAAGCTCGGGCTGCTGAGCCTGGATCTTGGGGTAAAGGGCCTCGCCGAGCATCTGCTTCTGCTGGGCGGGAGGAGCGGCGAGAAGAGCCTGGTTGGCAGAGGCGGGCTCGCCACCAGCGGGCTGACCGCCAGGGGCGGGCTGGCCACGACCACGACCCATCTGAGGACCACCACGGCCGAAACCGGGGCCACCACGCATGTTCATGGGCATACCGGGAACACCACGGCCACCGCCGCCACGTCCGAAGGCCTGGGGCATAGGGTAACCCATGCCGTTAGGAATGCCGCCAGGAGCCTGCATGCCCATTGGCATACCCTGGAAGTTGGGAGGAAGCTGTTGGTTGGGGGGCATACCACGGCCACCCTGGGGGAAGGGACCGGGGTACTGGGGACGTCCAGCGGGCATGTTGGGCATGGGCATACCGCCCTGGGGGGCGAAGGGCATACCGCCACGCTGTCCAGGGGGCATGAAGCCCTGCTGGCCAGCACCGTAGAAGACGGCGGGCTGCATGAACTAGT